CCTTAGCGGGATCCGCTCGAAGGCCACGCTTCCCAATGAAGCACCCTAAAAAGGGAATTTCTTCCGCGCCGAAGATGCACTTATCGGCTTCAGCATACAGCTTATTTGTGTGCATGCACTCGAACACCGCTCTCAAATGGACGATGTGATTCTCCACATCTGCCCTCCCGTGCCCCGCACAACTGTGGGCGATGATGTCGTCAAAGTATGTCTGTGCATACGTTCGATGACCCTGAACAACTGCATCAATATACGACTACATGTAGCTGGTGCATTTTTTGCCCTTGGGGCATCAGCAGCCACTTCCATAGCACACCACTCGGAGCACTCACCGCTGTCAGCGGAAAACCAATCGCTCGAATGAGCAATTGGTAATAGCCATCGACCAAGGCGAGTGCTCTGTACTTTGTACAGCCAACCATTTCGTTCTGGAGAACATCCTTTCCATAAATCGGCATCTGTGCCGGAAAGCTGGTAGCGCTTAGCTTATTATAAGCGTGAACGATACGCCACTTGCTGTTCGGCTTCTGGACACAAAACTTGGGTGGCGAATGGAAAGACTTACTCTCACGCACCATTCCTGCGTCGTGCTTCGCACGAAAAAGGCGTCAATTGCGCCACACTGCTCCTTGGGCAGGGGCCATCGGCGTGTTATGCAGTATTTGATTCCTGAACCAGGTCAATCTCATGACGCACACCTTGGTCCGGAGGGTGGACCGACGGCGCGTCTTTGGAGGCGATGTCTTAAATTCTTTTACCAAAGGGTAGTAGAATCCGAGGGGTCCTTCAGGATCGACGATCCACTTTGTACGTTCAGCACCCTCTTAGTGTCCTCAACGACAGATTTATTTAGAAGCGACGACAAGTTAATATCGCTTTCTGGTCGTATAATGACCACTTCGGCTAAATGCCTGTCTTTAAGGCATCGCCAAACTCTTCAAAGGACATCTCGTCCAACTCAAGAAGAGCATCTACCGCGAGAATTGCCTCGAGGTTGACGTCGCCGTCTTCCTCTCTCTTCGAACGTTGACAAGGGTATAAAGCTGTGCGCTATCGTCTACGGTAGACACACCCTGAGTCAGGGTCGACGCCCTGCGTCGTGCAAAAAATATGGCATCAACGTCTCCTCTCTATAGAGGTTTTATGTGTCATCGAGACCAGTGGAACACGCACTCGGCGTCGTCCAGTGTCCTCACTCCCTGCCCCATCGAAGCCTTGATATTATTAACAATATTCGACGAAGAGCTGCAATTTTCGAAGTCTTCGTCTAGTGGATAATATGCCACCCCATGCGCATCAAAAGGACCTTGCTCAAGATGACTCAAACCTCGTCCGACCATGCCACTCTTGGCATGCAGCAGCGGCTTCGTAACGTGAGCAGTACTCAGTGGATTCTGCGCATCACTAGGGCTTCGGACCTCGTCCAACCATGCCACTCGTGGCATGCAGCAGGTGCTTTGGTACTTGAGCAGTGCTCAGCGGTTACGTGCCACTCTATGTTCAGCCCGTGACTCTTGTTTAATACACTTTCGGCGTTTGACAGCTCGGATACTCCGATATGCGACACTTTGACTGCCCGGGTCCAAATCCGTGCCAATAGCGCTTCTGCTTCCCAGCAGAAGTGGGTTCATGACTCAATAAAGCACCACCAGGAGACGCGCGCGTCACCGGAACGGTTCTCGACGTCCAATCAATCCATGGTGTTCCATCCCGAGAATTACGTCATATCATGATTTCAGGTCTAAGACTAAGCAGCGTTACACGCTATCAAAGTCAAGAAACTTGGCACCGAGGCCCACAGGGACCCTCAACACAGTAACACTAGTCCCGGTCGTTAAGCGAACAGTGACAGTGTCACTCAACCGTGCTTTCAGCGCTTCAGCATACAGCTAACTTCCTTCGGTCGCATAATTGCCCGACGCCTTGGAATCGTTCAGGATCTTCCATTGCTTCTCAAAGCCTTTCACAGTAGCATTTACGACCAGCAAGCCCGGCTTGCATACACGTTTCGTGTACAAGAGCTCGAAGCTTTTTGGGGCTGGGCCCTGCTACCCTCTACCTCTCTGAGGCTGTTGGGTGTTTAGACGCTACCCGGCAGCTCGGAGCTCTCCCTCCTGCCAGTTGTGCTATCTTTTCTATACAAACTGTAGACAAACGATAGCTTAGCGAATCTCGCTCAAATGATAACTGAATGCATCATGTTTCGTCCCCTCAGATCATACATTCTTCTTCGGCCATGGTCATTAGATAACGTTAAGGTCTACTAGAAGAAAATTTGACTCATAGACGTGATCTATTGGCTCAGGCCCGCTCGACGAGCTCTGAGGGTGTGCATTCCAACAACGTCGTACCGACTTGAAGTTGAATTCGGCATTCAATGACACATTCACCGCTTCCTCAAAAGAAAACAGATGCACACGGAAGACTTCCATTCTGGCTACACCAGTGCCAATAAAGACGGTCACTGCGATCGCCTCGGGGAGAGGATCGACAGCAACGAGAGTTCTCAGCTCTTGGAGAAAGACCACCAACTCCTACTTGCCCCGCCGAGCCGCAAAAAAACGCAATCGGGTGCGATATGCCTGGTTAGCTTGCAAAAGCTGCAGCTTCAGCTCCTTCCGGGAGGATAACGCCGCATATCGCACGTTAGTGCCCATTCTTGCGCTCAACCCCCAGCTTGCCTGGAGATAGATAGTGCCACACGCTTTTACTCGTTTCGGAGCATGGCGGATGCCATAGCCATCTCGGACTCTCTCACCCAGAGCAGGAAAATCTCTTCGTCCTTGCCCTTAGAGGTCTTCGCGCTCACCATGAGCGGGCTGAATCGGGAGGAGTCATTCATTGTCGACGGTGGCGTCATGGACGCAGTCGACGCCGACAGCTTCTACTGTTGGTGCTCTAGCAGACATTTTTATAATTCGTAAACACCTCTGGGCGCGCGCTTATCGCCTCAGGCCCTTGCAAAACAAGGTGTCGCACGCCCTTAGGGCCAAGCAAGGACATCAGCTTATTAAGCCCGTCCTGCATGCCCCGGGGCAAATAGGAAAAATGCTCCATCCTCGCAGAGAGGCAGTCGTAACAACTCTGGCGTAGATTGACTACGGGTTCTACCAAGTGCAGCGGAGCTGCCGTAGCTTTGTGCTTAGAGGAAGCTAAGCTTAGGTTACCGACCTTACATTCTTTACCAAAACCATTACGAGGGTAGCGGATCGAAATCCGCTACCTCCAAGAGTACCCAAAATATTAACCAAGGCAAATGAATGTTTGAATTGTATCTAACTGCTTTAGTTGCGACAGAGCCGCCTATATTAAAAACCTTAGGTTTTCCTAATCAAATAGTGAAAAGCTAATCATAATGCAAGACTAAACGCAGTCCTGCCACGTCATGGCTTCTTGTTTGGTGCTATCCACACCATTGTGTGATTACAATGACTTGAATAATTTACATCTTTGTACGGTCACACGATCTTGTAAAATCCACCCTCTCACAAAAGGGTACGTGCAACCCCGTTACAAATACTCTCCTTCTGTGGTGCCACGGAATAGGTCGATATCCTTCGTGAGCACGAGATGAGATATCCTGGTCGTGTCGCATCCGAACTCTCAAAGGCCTAACGATGAAGATTCGCTTCTAACAATGGTGAAGATGCAAATTTGCTGCAACAAGTAGAGCGTGCATTGAAATGTCAAAAACGACAGGACAAAGAACTAGATGTAAAAAGAAAAGTAATGATGACCACATCCGACGAAAAGACGTTAGAAAACGACAAGAAGAACAGCGCAAGGAAGAAACATTATGACTAGAAGAAGAGCATGAGTCTGTAGATGGTGATCATAACTGGCCCTTTGTTCAAAAATAAAATTAGCTACATTAGAGGTTTGATTGATGGTTTGCTTCAATGTTCAAGAGCGGCATATATGATGATAGAATTTGATTTGACCCAGCAAATCTGGTGCAGAAGCTGAAAAGCTTACTATCTTTTACAAACTGATTTTTGCCGTTCTTTTCGTATAAAAGCTGGGCTTTGAATCTAAGAATAGAGCCATTTCCCACTCTGCATTTTGTTGTGCTGATGTAACCTGTCGAGCCCTACGAACTTCCTCGGCACCAGAAACATGGGCATACCGACGAAATCACACAGAAAAGCATACACAACACCATCGTGAAATCTCGAGTTCTTGTCCATGCTAGCGTAAAAGCTAAATATGTAGCAGCATCGAGAAGACTCGGCCGATCTTGCTGTGCTCCAGAAGTGTAAATTCAGTATATGGTGCTCGAAGACCTGTAGTAGCTTTCTCAAGGCGCGATGATCCAGCCCAGTAAAAGTGAACACATTCTAAATCGAACAGCATACTCCATGGGCTCATAGCTGGTTGGAGCAAGGCTCGACACCGGATACGACAATTGCGCCTACGACTTCTTACTGTAGTGAGATTCACACCATTTTAAACTCGCTGCTGCCAGCAACGAAAAAGAGAGAGTAGTAATGGCGACTTTTGTAAGATTTTCATACCAACATTGAGTATTTCGCACTTGAAAAAGGACTTTCGTGACTAAAACATACAAGAGACACATCTTGAATTTTGTTTATTACCGCACAATGAATAGCATGAGACTAGCAGTCAGCGTGGTCCACATACCCCTTTTTACGAGTATCTATTAACGATTCTACATGATATAGAACTTCTAGTTATAAGGTGTGTGTATCCATCGGTATATACCCTGCTACAGCTACTGCCCGTGATTGGCCGTTCAGTATGAGTTCGTCTTTCCTACATGACTTTTGGCCCATTATGCGAAAGCTTCAAGGTTCAACGTCAGCACCAACCTGCGTCGATCCTTCTGCTAGCCAGCGTATTAGTTCTTCACACTTGCTTCATTTAGGCACTAAAGAAACCGAAATAATTCTGGATTTGATTTTCAATTAATAAAAGTCACAGTATTCAGCTAAAATTTCGCCTGATTGATTGGCTCAAGTTTGTTGTTATATATAATCCGATTCGATATTAAGTTGTAAGCGTCTCGGTCCATTTACTAGTCAAACAATTGACAGTTAATGACAATGGATGGGAAGAGGAAACGTCAAAATGACTCGAAACGACTTGAAAAGGGAAATTCTCACGTTGAATCAACGATTCAAGAAAAAAGAAGGAAATCTAAGCTTTTACCATCGAAGAAAGCGATTAAATTGACAGTGGAGAAGACGGAGAAGATAAATCCCACGATTATGGCCAACTCGAATTGGCTCGCGGTGAAGAACAAAATACATCAAAAAGATCAGCCGCGAGAACGAAAATACGATTTGGATCCTAAAGCAGCGAAAGAGCGTGTAAAGAAGGAGAAACAGGCTATGCGCATGAAGGAACGAACTGCCGAGTGGGTGGATAACTCGCGTATTGTTGGCATAGATTGTGAAATGGTTGGTGTCGGACTTTCGGGTAAAACAAGTGTATTAGCGCGGTGTAGTATCGTGGATTATGACGGCAATGTACTCTACGATAAAAAAGTGCGCCCTGTGGAAAAGGTTACTGACTTTCGAACTCATGTCAGTGGCATTAAATCGAGCTCGCTTCGAAATGCGATTCCCTTTGCACAATGTTTGAAAGAGGTGGGAAAAATAGTGCAAGATAAAATAGTCGTCGGCCATGCATTAAAAAATGACTTTCAAGCGCTTATGTTTACGCCACCAAAGCATCTCATTCGCGATACGGCATACTATCGGCCATATATGCGTCGCAAAATGAATGGCACGGTACGTCGTGACATCTTTAAGAAAATAACAAATTTTCTAATAGCTGTCTGCTTCTCTAGAAACTATACCCAAAATCATTGAAACACTTGGCAGAAGAAGTTTTAGGTAAACACATTCAGACTGGACAGCACGATTCAGTGGAAGATGCACGTGCAACGCTCGAGTTGTATAAACGCGAACAGTATGCATGGGAGAAGTATTTGCGCGCGAACAAAAGCAGCAGTTTGCTTGCAGGCATCGCACCCACTTTACGACCGACAGTTGATGCTGCTCGTAATCTAAAATCCGAAGCTATTAAGCCTGATTTAAATCGTGACGATGAGAAGATTGACACTGAAAGAGGAGAGGTGAATGTGCCAGATACCAATGACCTCGCCATTATGGAATATGGTGAGTAACGTACACAATATGTGAGTACCGGTATAGAGCTTTACACTACAAAACACCGGTATTGTCTTTCTTAAGTTATTACGTAAAAACTTGACTGGTTGTTCGTTGCCTTTAACCACCACAAGAATTTTCGTCATGTGCTTGACAAGATTATGCCTCTCTTTACCAGCTACCAGCCTACGCTTCTTGTCGCACCATCTTCTAGATGGAATACAGGTCGTGTCAATCGTGGTTACGCAGTTAAATATGAGGCAGAAAGTGATCTCTGGGGCTTTTTGTCCGCGTTTCTGATGCTTGAACTGCTTTCGAGTGGTAAAAGTGTTAGGAACTTGGTGCACAAGAGAGAATGGGAAAGTGAGTATTTTATTCTCTTAATGAATTCTCAGCAGAACGTTTTTCAAGCCCATTGCGGGATGGAAGATGGCGCTGTTGCATTCTTGTGCACTGAATGGAGAAAAGTTTCTGAAACATTCTGGTATATTATCTTATGTTTGCACTTTTCAAACTTTCCACTTGCCGATTTCCTCCCTTCGGCTTGTGATATACGCAGTGCAAATAGTGTACAATGCTGCGTGTGGAATAATCTTTTCTCGTCAGGTTTCCTTTCCTGCTGAGGAGCGCACTAGCTTCGGCTTTAAGGCGCTCAGGATTCCACGGCAGTCACATTCAGTATCTAAACGCTTTATGTTTTTTTCAATAGTGGTACCGTTGTAGTAGTCAGCTGACAGCGACCTCAGCCATTGAGATTAGTTGTTGGCGTCCAAGTGATTATCTCGACATTTTTCATTGTATGTATGACCAAAGTAGGAATATTGCAATGTTGTGCTTGATTCAAGCGCTCTAGAAAGATTTACCATCAAAACAGATTGACATAATTGGTAGTGCCGCAAGCATTTGATCGATAAAACAGAACTTGCGGAAGCTTAGGAACACATGGTTGCTGTCACTTACGGTCTCGTCGTACGCTGGTAGTATCGGCTTTGTGCTGTTTTAATGTAATTCAGCCACTTGGTCGCTATTTACAATACAATTTGTCGATATTTACAATACAAGAAATCTCCGAGCATGACGGCAGAGATACTAGTTATGCAGCTTTGCATTTCTAGAACAAGGCTGGAATGTTGCTGTCGCAAGTTGCGGCATGATAAGGAGATATACTGAGCAATTATTCGCATGTTGCAAGTTGGTGGTCGAAAACCTCATCTCGGTTCATTCGAAGGTATTCTGTTTAATGCCATAATCGACCGCCAATTTTACATAGAGAGGGTTTACATGACTTAACCAGCTTTCGAATGCGTTGAAGACTATTTTGTGGCACGGAATCATGGATCCACAAATTTGAATGAGACGCAATGATTTCTTACTCAATAAAAACGAATCTTATGATATAATCGGACGAAGTAGTCGCTGGTTGTGCTATCTGCTCCATGCAACTTCTCACAAGCAATCTAGAGATTTATGAATTGGATCGCACTAATTTTCCAAGGATGCTTTAGTCGATGATTTCTGATTCACGTTGCGCTGTACTGGATTTATATCGATAGGTGTAAGATTCCTTTTTCACTTTAGAAACACTAGGATCTGTACCCAGATACAAATTAAAATGAGTCACAAATTGGGTGGACTGATCAAGTTTCTTCTCGCTCTAACCGTCCAAGGCATAGCGCTTTTATGGATTCTCCACAGGCCCACGTTTTGTGACACGTTTTGAGGAAAACAGTGTTTTTTAACTACTTGTATATCTAAAATCACGACATTTGCGGATGCAAAATTCACCTTGATGAATCGACGGTGTGCATGACGACAAAGATAATCATTAATCAAACTTGACGAGCTGGATCAAGTCTAAGGTCCTTCCGAAGTCGATCAGAATAATGTGATAAAGTATTATCGACGACTAATTAGTACAATTCGGCTTATTCATTAAATTTAATCCTATTGAATACTGCACGATCCCTTTATTTTGCCAACACAATCTGCTTTCCTCTTCTTTTCACTGAGCACTCAATTGTCATTGCAATCCGCGTCTTAATACTTGAAGCTAACAATTTCAAGTGGAAAGCGTCATGTTTTCAAGACTAAAGCTTGTAACGGGGTTACACTTACCCTGGTATCAAAGGGTTGGTGTATGACCGTACAAAGAAAGGTGTGGATTACGCAAATCGGTGTAACTACACAATGGTGTGGCTACACCGTAACAAGATGTTACTATGTGGCGGGACTGCCAGTAGTTATACATATTAATTAGCTTTTACTTTTTAGTTAGGAACAGCTAAGGTTTTAGATACAGGCGGTTCTGCCGCAAATAAAACAAACAAATGCAGTCTCAATTTTGAACAGAAGAGTTTATTTGTCTTGCTTAAGGTTCTGGATGCTCTTAGAGGTAGCGGGTTGGGATCCGCTACACTCGTACTGGTTCTCGTAAGGAAAGCAAGGTCGGTGACCTTCGTAAGCTTTCTCTCAGCAAAAAGCCATGGCAGCCCCGCTGCAAGACACGTTTCGTTTAACAGCAACAAGTTATTTCTGATGTCGTTGTTTTAAAAGATTTGGGTAATCGTCAGTTCATGCTCGATGAGGAATGGGCGGGTGCACACTAGACGACTGGATGTTACGAGGCCATTAGATCGCCCCAGGCGAATAAAGAACTCTACCTTGAAAATATTGCTCGGACTACAGTACATACTGCAGTCGAAGGGACGCCACTTTTTGTAAAAGAACCAGCGAGAGATGTGTAGTGTCTTGTATTCAGATCCAATTTCAAAATAGTTTCACGCTATCATTTTTCCAGCCTTATTCAAGTTTAAAAAGGTTTAAAACTAAACGATCGCCACCCGACTCACAAACCAAGCATACATCAATGCCTTGAAGTCATCAGTATTGCGTTGCACTCAAGATTGCACGATACCCTCCCCTTATATTCAGGCTTTCTATGGGCTCATATGGCCTGGTGCGTCAATGCACTCGACCAGTTTAACTGAGCTATAAGTTCGATACTTCTTGTCAAGCTAGGCCCCATCGACCATGATCTGTGCAAAGCAAAATAGGACAAAATTCTTTCTCAGTAAACCGCCTTGCACATATTAAATCTCGACATTGCATCTGCGAAGGATCTATCGATCATCTCTGCGTAGATGGTCGAGCCATCCTTTCACACGATTGAAAGCGAAGCTGACACAAAGGGTATATCTGTTTGGTACGTAGTAGTTGCAATTGCAAATGCCAATATGCTGCTCAGAAATCACCTAGCTTTGCTGGGCTGCATCACTTATTCCGTACCTCAACCGACCCTGGCGGATCGGAAACTGTGGTCCAAAATATTCCCGCCTCCCAAATAGGTTTCGATGTTTGCGATAGATGTCGGGACACGTGTAAGAATACTCTTTTTGAAAACGCTATCCGCGGTCAAATATAAAATCGGATTAGTCAACATCTTGTTCAGCTTGCGGAGATTACTTATTTTTTAAATGCTAAAACTGAACGCAATACCCCAGATTATGCGGTGCATATTTGTCGTTTGAGCACTTCCCGTTATAATCTCGTTGTTTGAGATACTGTGAATACACAGCTTTTGAGCTGAGTTATATCAACCCCTCTTGTGAATGTGTTAAGTTATTAACCTCGTTGCTCTCTGAGGTCTTGACACATGTCGGAAGCGGTGTTGCTCTATAGTGCCTTGAAGGAATGAATGGGCTTTGCTTCCAAAATTTTATCGGTGTTGTCAAGTTATTGCGTTTTGTAGCTGGTAAGAATCTCCAGGTGAGCGGAAGTTGCTGCCAGGCCTTGGACAATAGTCGAGATATCCTCTCGCGACCAACTAAAGCGAAACGTTCATCAAGCGTAGTGTGTTGAGGCTAAACGTTCTAGGTACATGTCTTATATTTCAACGTTCCGAAAGAGGGTCATCCGCTTAAGACTCAGTCATACTAGTGCTACCATGTGCAACGAGACCTTAGCTCTTTGTAGTGGAGAATCGGGTATCAAGGTGCGCTGATGATAGGATAAGACTGTCTCTAAGACGAAACCCAGATCCGTCAAGGTGTTAAAAGTTTATAGTCTAAATATGAGAGTGATGTATCTAGAATTAAAGCTGCTAGAAAACGTAGAATTTTTAAAGCTCTGCAGCGTTGCGGTATTTACGAAGTGAGAACACGCAATAATAACCAGCCGATCGATACGCTAATTTGAAAATTGACATGGAGCGTGATAAGTGTGATGAACTTGGACGAGATACAAAGCGTTCACGATAGCCATGACACCATGTTCAGCGCGTGGCAGCAAAAGCTGGAACCTACTTGAAAGAGTGTTCCTTGGCTATGATCGTAACGTGGCGTTTGAATTACTTACGCTCAAATCTTGATCATTCTCATTCTATTTGATAACGACAAGCTACGAAGTCAACTAATCAGGAACATGTCCGTCTTAATCAAATCATCGGACGCCAGGGTCTTTGTGAGATAGTTGTGACTCGCATGATGCTACGCACTTGTGTATTGGCTAACTAGCATTTCCTCGCATGAACGATAGCAGATACTGAAATATTTTCAGATCTTTCGGAGTCGATAACGCTATGAGAGGGAATGACGTTGAATGGGGCTCTTAAAATTGAAGAGACGAATGTACGATATCACAAGAGTAAATCGAGTTGTGCCGTACAAGCTTTATTTCTCTCAACGTACAAATGCCTATTACCACAGCCATCAAGTATCAGTACATATATAGGAACAAAGTAGCTAATAAAACGACGATAACTATCGAAGCAGCTTGCAGTGCGAGAGAGATTTAGATTGAAGATGCTCGTTTCCATATGAAGACAACGTGATATTTCCAGTGACAGCGGAGATGTTCTTCTTCGACTACTCTGTGCTCAGCAGAAAGACACCGTTACTCATCAAATCGCCACTTTTCGGAACGGCGATGAAGTCAATATTGTTGTGATCTTGGCAGAGCATTATGTTGACTGCATAACGCTTGTGATGAACCAGTCAAAGCCAGTACGTACCAGAATGATCTAAAACGTATTGCGAAATTTCAAAGTAGATTTGACGTAAAATGTTTGGTTTGGGTCCTCGTGTTATTCGAGTCGACGTAAGATACGAAGAGTATTTATCGACAAATTTTCCTTCATCGGGATTGATATATAAAAGGAAACACGATACACTTCAATTTCAAGCAATTTAGCAGACAAATTTGATTTTGTAATTGTTTCGAAAAAATGATCCCGGATTATCTATTACTTTCAGAATTTGTGAACAAGGCCTATCCTTGAAGAAAGTTAAGGATAATCAGCAAACTAGTGAGAACTATTTTTCACTAATGAACCCGGCGACATACAGAAGTCAATGTTTCTGCGATTCATTTTTGCATAAGAACGGTTGACAGTGAGACTTGCTGCAGTTGAATAGATCACTATAGGCGGTGGAACAGCTTAAAGATTCCACTTTCACTTCGCGCAAATTGTCTTAACAAAGTCAGCACTACAATTTTTTTTTTTAGTTTAGGCTGATACAGCGAGGTTGTTGATCGATACATATTCAACAAACACTGACAAACTTTAGGGAAGATGGGTGTGCTGTCTTGTGCTATAAGGCAGATCATTCAAGTCATTGTAAGAGGTACTTCATCCGTTGCTAGTTTGAATTTATCATATCAAGGATTCATCCATCTCTTTGTAATCATGCGTGCAAACTGCTAAGAACGAATTTGCTTCAGATGAGATGCCTACATTTTCCGGCTTGTTGGAGAAGGAAGGTACAAAGGTAATTCGATGCTTGGAGTAGTTCATGAATCATAATCTAATCTGGCAACCCGCATGTCGTAGAATCGACTAATGACGAGGTTATGACATGTACGTAGACGACTAGATTGGATTGTATCATCAAACCACGAGGCGGATATCAACAATCTAAACATTGCGAGTGATAAACATCTCGCCAGCTGTGCTCAACAAGCGTCGAATCAACGATGCGGAGGCTCAACATTTAATCAGCAATCTCATGAGTATTTATCAGATGAACTAATTGACAGAGACAACAATTTTTTATCAATGCGCTTACTACATACTCGAAATTTCACCTCACAGGCTGACGAGTTCTTCATACTATTGTCTACACGAGATTCCATCACATGGACTAATGCCTTATTAATGATGCAGAGTCTCACTAGACTTTTGTAAAAGAAAGCGTGGTCAGGTTGTCGAATAAAAGCCTTATCTGACTCACTCATCTTTCCTAATAGGTGAGCGCCGAGGCCAGCACATGCTGACTATAAGCATTGCGTAATGGCAATCCGCGTGATATTGCTTCCGTCGAAAGTTGCTCCCAGTAAAGCCATCCTTTACAAGCTATCAACAAGGCACAAGAATGTTCGGTGTCTATATCAGTCATCTCTTTGCTTCTCGTATGAGTAGCTAGCTTCAAGTAGCTATGTCCAGAGTTACCTCGAAGATACCGATACAACATGTCCTACAAATATTATATTTTGCCCGATCTTTGAACAAATGTCATCGCATATCTTACTGTTGAAACATGCCCGATTCATATACGTTTGGATGTTACTGCGATTCAAAACCTCACCACTTCAGACTACCGAAAAGACATTTTAAAAATACATCTAAACCATTCGACGAGCAATTATCAAAAGCATTAGGATCTAATTTCGATTGAAGGTTTTCAACAAGCATCGAATGGGATCAAGCAAGTGTCTATGTCCCACGAAGCCAAGAATACGCTAAGATGTGGAAACAACTGCTGATGGTTGTGCACCTGCGTGTAGCAACCTCTTCTTGCGTTAAGTATATTCTTCAATCAGCTGAATCACAACATCTCGAAGGTGGATAAGCTGAGCTATTGACTTGTAAAGATTCCTTCATTCTTGGTACTGCATATAACCTATCAACCCACATTGGCGAGTCGCAAGAACAAGTATGACCCTTGTCAGGATCCCTTTGTTAGCACTACTAAGTGCCACTATTGCTCCATTAGTGGCTCATAGGCAAGACGTAGTCACCTTTGGTACATTACTCAGCTGCAATGATACGAGGTGTTTATGGGCAGATCAGAGTGGCATCTCAGTGACTTCAGACTTAATGGTGACGCAGTTTTTACAAAAAGAAGATATGGCGACAACTCCGAACGAATTTCGAAGTAGATTAGAAACTCACGTGGACTATCTGGAACAAGTACACAAACATGCAGCTAGACGAAACTGGACATTTCCCTATTCGATGGGTGTTAACACTCGACATTTATATCATGATGGTCATCGAAACTTATTGCCTTCACATTTTGTAAAGCAGGAACATGAAGCGACCCAACGGCGACAGCGTCGTAAGAATATTAAACAGCGCAATCTTGCTTCATCTTCGCTTGGAATACGCGAAACGTTAAATTGGTGCTCGATGGATAATCCACGTAATCAAAGCATTTGTACAAATGTCAAGAGTCAAAACCAATGTGGAAGCTGCTGGGCTTTCGCAGCAGCTGATGCGATTGAAATGGCTGTGGTTGTTAACGCAGACACATCACCTCAATCATTGTCTCCACAACAATTTCTGGAATGTAGCTCAAGAGTGATGACGTCGACTTTTCATTATTGTTGGGCTGAAGGAGGTGTTGAAGGATCTTCTTGGTTGCTTCCTAAGATGATTTGGGGCTCTAGAAACGACGCTTGCAATGGGGGAATGACTCACGCTGCTTTTGCTGATGCTGCTCAATTACACTGGTCACTTTTAAGCGAACTAGATTTACCATACAATGAAGAGGAGACTTTACAGGAATCTACTGCTACTCTCACGAATGCATGTAATAGATCATCAACAAGTGCTTTTGCTAGTATTAACGGGTGGGAACAAGTTGCTGGGCCTTTGTGCGATAAAAGTAGGAACTCGATTGAATTACTTAAGCTGGCATTGCAAAAGCAGCCGATCTCAGTGGCCATTAATTCTGGAGGGTCTTTTGATGAGTATAAAGGAGGTATCTACACATGTCCAAATGATGGAGACTTTGCTTCTAGTGGAGATATCAACCATGCAATTGCACTTGTTGGCTATGGCTCAGATGATACTACAGACTTCTGGATTCTAAAGAATTCGTATGGCATGTCATGGGGCGAAAAAGGTTTTCTCAAACTTGCAATGGATTCGAAAATAAATTGTGGTTTGAATATCTTTCCCGTCATTCCAATTGGAGCACTTGCTGGTCTTGCACATACGGATGTTGATGGTGGAGGTGTTATTAAATTTATTGGATTGTCACCTAATAGCTGGATTCTTATAGGTATTGCAGTTGCTGCAGTGACGTTCGTTCTCACAATTATTGGTATCCTCTATGCTCATCGTCAGCGTAATGTGTTTAAGAATGAGCTGTGAGTTTGAATTTGTTAGTGATCTCAGTACCTTTGATAAGCATTTAGCTTTAAATGTATATAGCATTTGATGTTTTAAAAATTGTTTTTATCGAGGAGCTAAAAATGGGTGCTTTTGATGAATAGTTAGAAAAATGCTACTTTTCTCTAAATGCTGTAGGTACTGATCTAGTCTAATTAATGTGCTCAGATGGTTTGGACTCAAGACGACGCTGATGTCGAGTACACTCGGGAGGTAGAAGTGGAAGATGGAAAAGAAGAACAAAATCAAAGTGAAGAAGATAACAAGATTAACATTAAGGTGCAAGATCTTAATGTCGAGACTAAAAGGCAGCAAGAATATAACGAAAATGATCAAGAACGAGAGCATAAAACTGAAGAGAGTGAGGATGAAGTGCAGTTTATGGGCAGTACGGACGTTGCCAAGACTTCCAATGGACGAGAAGGAAACGAAGAGAAGCAGGAGGAAGATGTGGTGACTCTACCAAGCTGCAAGTTCTCGAAGGATCAATCTATAACGTACGATCAATCGAGAGCTAAGACTAATGTGACGCCAGCGACACTTGAGGCAGAGCTTCAATGCATTATATGCCATTGTACCATGTTTAAGGTAAATCGACTATTTCAAGATTGATACAATCGAATCACTGACAATAACTTTTGTCATGATTGTAGCCAGTGTCGGCAATCTGTGGCCACTCATTTTGGTACATGTCCTTGATTTTTATGTTCATACGATGCGTATTTGACGCTTGTTGTTGCAGTCGTGTATGTCTTTTAGATTCGCTTTTGACGCGATCAATGGAAGAAACGTCGTGTCCGATCTGCCGGACTGACATCATGCAGTTTTATTCTGTAAAAGTATCTTTGGTGTCGGTATTTTCAGTAAATGTCACGCTTTGGAGTGTTATACAAGTAAGCAAGTTCTATCACATCGACAATTAATATCGCAAGTTCTGACTCAAGTCATGTTCTGGTCTTAGTTGTTGATTCCATCCATTGCTACACGAATTTCTTCGTACCAAATAAAGGAAGAACAAGAGTTTAAGCGTAAACTTGACCAGTTAAGTATAATGTGGAATGTATCTCATCTTAAGGAGCATGCAGCGATATATCATGAGGATAATGAAGAAAGAGAGACGGGATTGTCAACACGACGGGATGAAGAACATAGAAGACATGACGAATACCCAGTTTTAAGAGTTGAAGATACTCGTGATGGAAATTTACAAATTTCTCGAAATATTGTGCTCGACACCCACGATGCAAATGAAGATGGATACATGAATATGCGTGTTGGGATGGCACTTGTTGACTTTCCGAGTGTTTTTGAATTATATAATGAACATCAAGAATGTTCTGTGAATGTAATTAAAATGGAAGAAGACGAAGAAGTGACAGATGGAATGCCATTTTTTATGAACGAAGATGGAGATGACGATGCATTGGTGTGTAGTTCGTATTATAACGAAATTTGTCTTCGTGTGTGTGATGACGCGGTACGTGATATTTTAAATTGTGTCGTTTATCGAGAATTCGCTGATTGTATTGCTGAGTATACAGGGCATTTGCTTAATGGAGCGAACTCGTGGCGCACACGGTGGTGTTGTGGTGTTTCCAGGCTTACGTCTTGATGTACCTGGTGGTAAGATCTCTTCGAATCTATTGAATCGATTAAGATTAATTTAATAATGTGTCAACATAGGCTTATACACGTTTCGCTTTACAGACGATCTGTATGGTCTTCAACTTAGTGTTACGACGCAATTACGTATGCCCGATGAGATTTCAGATACACCCGTTGCTGATTTCATTAGCCTTATCAATAATGAAGCAAGAGATGGCAGTCGTCGTCAACGAAGGCAAAATGACGATAGTGATAGTGAAGATGGATATGACCAATATGAAAACGAGTCAGATGATTCATTTATCGTTAACGACGATGTACACAACAAAGAGTTAGATGCTTCCTTTTCTGATGACGACGAGGAGAAGGATGTTATTGATGATCGAAAGTGTCGACGATCACGTCGAAAGATTCAAACTATTGAGGAACATGCTGACGAAATGTCAAGTGAGGACGATGAATACACATATCATAATGTAAAAGACGCAGTGAAATGTCAGGAGAGCGATAACGAATCTGACGTGAGATCAAGTCGTCGTAATAATCGAGTAGTGGACGACGTGGTGTTTTCTTCAGATAGTGAAGCAGCGTGTCGCAATGTTCTTTTGATTGGAAACGATGAAAAAGATCACGAAGAGCATGAAAATATTGATATAGCTCGACCTCGTCACCGAAATGCGAATCAGATTCTTGATAGTGAAGACGAAGATGAATGTGGACATGTTAAGAATGAGAAAAGCTTTTTTAACAAGAAGAGACTTGATCAACGAAAGCGAAGTGATAGTGATGTCGAAGAAACAAACCGCATCTTGGAACGGGAGGATTGGTCTAAGTCGGAAGTAACGAGCTCTTATAGTCCACGTGAGTCGTTTAAAGAAGACGAAGAAAGATCAAGAAAACGAGCTCGGATTATCACTGAAATTGAAAGTGAGGAAGAGAAAGACGAGATTGAACGTTCAATTGTAGCAGCGTGTTCAGATCATGCACACAACGATGTTGAATACGAAGATGATGATGTGAATAATTCACACATTCAAAGAATAAATCAGTATGACGACGATGAATATGAACATGATGAGGACAATGAGGCTATTGAAGATCTCGACAATGAGTGCGATTACCCGCTTGAAAATGATGTTGACATGTAACATTGTCGTTACTTACTCCAAATTTTGAATTTAATTTTTTTTTTAAGGTTACGATTTATATTACAAGAAGGAAATATAGTAGTATAATTCAATTCCAATCTTTCTTCGAATCTCGTAATTACTGCCAAGCTTTTTTCTTACTTCTTACTCCCTTGCAGTCATTTCAGTACAGAGCAGCATATTTCCTATCCAAACTTCAGTTGCATACCTGCGCTCAAGTGAATGGCCTGTGTCGGCTCGTGGAGCCCCCGCGATTCAGACACCCGCCTATTGATCGGTCGTGACCTGTGCTTTAGTGATCTAGACGTGCTTTAAGTCACAGTTGAATTCGTGTATCTTTTAAATCAGTTTTCATCAATGACACCATCGGAAGACGCTACATTTGCTCAAGGCATGTTCGTGACGCTTTGGCCTAAGCTGGAACGTTGTCATGACTATGTGGAGATGTTAGTTGCTGCTCAAGAGAAGCTGCAGATTACTGTGGATGAACTTATTGCTGGTAAGGGCAAGTTTAGTGCGTAGAAGTGTTTAAACTCTGACTTAATTTTTATTAGGTCTCAACGAGGCAAAGAATGCGGAAGGTAGTGCGATCGTAAGCTATGCGGATCGAATTCGTAACTTCCCTGCTAGGGTTGAGAAACTACAGCAAAAGCTTGCTCGAATTCACGACCGTCTAGTGGCCATGAAAGAGTCGCCGAGTTTTCATTTGTCGCCCACTCCAAAGTTCTCGAGTGAAGAAGCGGTACTCTTTGCCTCCCCTCTGTTTTAGATGGAAGTAACTCGAGATTGAAACAGGATAATGACCATACAATAACACACACTTCGCTTAAGAGCTCTACCATCAAATGCCCTTTTAACGAAAATTACATCGTCAACATTGTTGTGGTAATTATTTACATATATTAGATCAATTAATGCAGACATAACCTCACTACGTCTGAGCTTGTGCCTCTTTTGCCCTTTTCTGTAGTACTAGCGTCTTGGTGGTATTCCAGGAGCTATACAAAATACCATTCTTAGTCAAATCGTTCTTCATGATAAATTCTATCTTACCTTCGGTCTTCCGTCGAAATATTCGGTCGACGTAGCTGTGGTGGTGCAAAAGGCGCAATCAGAGGCTTGTATATACGTTTGACTGACTCAGTTTTAGCTAATTTAAAAGCTGGACCAGATACTTGCTCGATCTTCCGTTTGCGCGTCTCTGTTGCGACAGTACTCATGGTCAATACGCCGCTCGTGTCACTGGCGAGCAATTCATCTGCTGATGGGAATAGCTGTGCTTTGATAGGAACTGCTGCTATAGCATGTGAATCCGTGTCGGCTCGTGTAGAGATCTCACTATCTGAAGAGGAAGAGGATGCATAATCGTTGCCAAGGAGGTTTATAACCGTCATACCTTTACAGATTTCGTCCTAACAATATATTATTAATATGTTTTAGTTGTAGCCCCTAATTAATGACTTTGTTTAAGCAGGTTTTTTTTGCTTAAAATTATAGTATTTCGATTCCAGAAACTGTTATCTCACATTCGAATATTTCCAGAATGTACTTAAGTTATCATTCGGCAATGTCGTTTGTTCATGACGATACTATTAACCAAAAGGTTTCTGTGCCTGTTAATAACAATGCAAGGATAGTTTTTACTATCAGCAGCTATGTCAGTAATCTGAGTGATGTTGTTTATGCCAGTGAGGCATGAAAAATCTGTACTCCAACATTGATACTTGATTGTCAACAAACCAACGGCATCCTGATCTGCAAGATAAACCATCCGCTTTTCTCATAGATAACCATTATGATGTGTGAGTCGGCGATGTACCGCACGTATATTTAGAACTAGAATTCTGCACGAATAAGAGCCCGACATGACAGCTGCCAATCTTCCAGCACCGAACCTGCTTATGTCAATCACAGTCGTGCCACAAATCAATTTACCGAGTACGAGGTACTCTCTATTGATTCAGCACCTATACAAAGTCAGTGATGACTCGTGAAGCTCAGATATCGCGTTACACGTTTCTACGAACGGTCGTGGGATTCTGGAGTTTGAGTGGATTATTCGCGTTCTTCTTCTTTTCGGCTATTGTGCGAAGTGATCCCGTGCAGTCCCATCGACGACTTCACACTTCAGATTGGGCCAAATCTTTCCCACAAGATGTAGTGGCTCACATGGATCTCACTGTTGACCCTTGTGATGACTTTTACGAGTTCAGTTGTGGTGCATGGTTGGATCAACTCGAGATTCCAGATAACAAGTCAAGTTTTTCCCTCTCCTTTACTACCGTGAATGATGAAAATGACAAAGTTCTGAAGGAGGTGATGGGGCAAGGATGGCCGCTAATTGGTGAACTATATGAATCCTGCATGAATTTTAGCAATACCAGTGATCCAGTAGCGGATAAAGCATCTTTAATGGCTCTAGCTCCTGGCTTACAGCGAATTAGCGCCGCAACAACCAAGGAAGGGCTTTTCCATTTGGCTGGGAACTTGTCAAGAGCCGGGCCAGTTTTTTTGACGGGGTTAGGGGTCTCTGCAGATGCACGGGCTGCGACAACTTATGCGCTCTATGTGTCACAGACGGGGCTATCACTACCTGATCGCCAATACTATCTGGACAAGAAAAAGTACGCATCCATCCGTGATGATTTTCATACATATATTTCGACATTATTCCGTTTGGTAGGGTTGAATCCCGATTCCGCAGATGCTCTTGCAGTCGCAGTCTCTCGCTTCGAGAAGAAGCTGGCAGAGTTTCATGTACCAAAAGAAGATCTTCAAGATCCTCTGGCTACTTATAACCGCATGAGTGCAGCAAAAGCGGTTAGATTATACCCTCTGTTGTTTTCTCAGTATGTTGACGGTAATGGCATTTTGAAAGGACTATTAGCCAATAAAACCGATGTGATTGTGGAAACTCCTACCTATTTTCAACATGTCGAAGAGTTGGTGGCAAGTGAGTCGGTGACATTAGACGTTTTGAAAGCAGTGTTGCAATATCAGTACATTCACGCAGAGGCAGGTCTACTTAGTGCACCTTATTATCATGCATCGTTTAGTTTTTTCGGTCAAAAACTTCATGGCCAAAAGACACCCGTGGAACGATGGCGAAAATGTGTCGATCATGTAGCTAGCAGCTTTCCAGAGCTCGTGGGTAAATATTATACTCTTGCACGCTTTGACAAGGAGAGTGAAAAAGCTGCTAGTGACTTAGTGACTCAGATCCAAGTGTCTCTAAAGCATGAACTTGGACAACTTGATTGGCTCGACGCATCCACGCGAAAAGCAGCATTGGATAAATTAAAGAAGATGGCGAATCTTATTGGCCATTCCACTCATTCGGAACATTTCACGTTTCAATTACGTTCCGATGTCTCGCTTTTAGAAAATTCTCGAATCATAAGTGAATACGAATTTGCCAAACATGTTGCTCGAATTGGGGGTCCTGTTGACCGTACGGAATGGGCGATGACAAGCGCAACGGCTAATGCTTATTATGAAATGACAGCGAACCAAATTGTTTTACCAGCGGGAATTCTACAGTCTCCATTTTTTTCTCGAAGTCGTCACCCAGCACGTAACTTTGGATCCATTGGAAGTGTTATTGGCCATGAATTGACCCATGGTTTTGATGCACAAGGACGGTATTATGCTGGCGATGGAAATCTTCAAGATTGGTGGAGTAATGACACTGCGAAAGAGTTTGAAAAACGCACTGACTGTCTTGTAGCGCAGTATGACAAATATGAGATGCCAAGTTACTTTACAAAGAATAAAATACTAGGCCATGTCAATGGAAACTACACTTTGAGTGAAAATATCGCAGACAATGGAGGTGTCAAGCTTGCGTTTGCTGCGTACCACGCGTCTATGAATAGTGGAGCGAAACAATCGAGTGAAAATGAAGAAAAATTGGCGGGCAATGCAGCGGACCAACTATTTTTCGTCTCGTTTGCCCAGACATTCTGTTCGAAATCACGTGACGCTAGTATAATTAATCAACTGGCGTCTGACCCGCATACCCCTGGACGATGGCGCATTAATGGTGTTGCGAGCAACTCGCGCGACTTTGCTAAAGTCTTCATGTGTCCTGCTGGTTCTCCAATGAATCCCAAGACCAAATGTCAGCTTTGGTAATGTTTCTATTTTTGAGAAAACCAAACGTAATCGCGTGACGAGATTCAGACACTGACTTGTATGAAGGATGCTACCAAGTTCTGGCTCGTGCACTTGCATTGACGTCTTCAGATAACTTACAAATCTTCATAAAGATTTGCTACAGCTTTCTTTGGTATAATCTATAGCTGCATTAATCACATTATAATTACACTTGAACCGATTGGTTTTCAAATGACCCGAAATGACGATTTCTTTTTCGTGCTATCGCTACATCCTTCAAAGATATGTACTACATTATTAAATCACTTTCATGTTGACACACTACTGGAGGGCCAGCGATCTACAGGTTAGTGCTTTGTAATGTGCTTGAGACCTCGTCATAGTATCAGCAATTCAAATATCAGCTAGAAGGAAATCCGGTTCAAATATAGGAATTGACTTTTTCTAAACCTTAGTATTTAACTGGACCCTTCAGACTTGTTATCGTGTTTAGCCAATTTCGTGGTCCACACCCTGGACATCCGCAATGTCTGCACATGTCCGCCGAGGCAACGTACGTATCGCTCGTTTATTCTCACCTTGTTGTCGACCCTGTAGAATTAATTTGTTCTATGTACTAGGCTCGCCTTCCACCTGAGGTGAATCGTGTGTTGTACGTGCGTAATCTTCCATTTAAGATCTCGTCCGAAGAATTGTACGACATTTTTGGCAAGTATGGGGCCATCCGACAGATTCGGTTAGGTGTTAATAATGACACTAGGGGTACAGCTTTTGTCGTCTACGAAGATATTTACGATGCCAAGAATGCAGTAGATCATTTATCGGGCTTTAATGTCTGTGGTCGATACCTCATTGTGCTTTACTATCAAGCCAACAAAATGCAGCAGCGCAAAACGGCGGTGGACATTAATAAACAAAAGCAAGAGCTACAGGATCTTAAAGATAAATACGGCGTTGAGTAAATAAAAATCCTTCAAATGGCAGACATAGTGAGTTTTTTTGACGTATCTCACTTATAGTATGCTTTCTCGCTCCACAGTCTTTTGCACGCATACAACATCAAGTACTTTATAATCTCGGTTTCGTCGCAAAAGTCTCGTATGTCGTTTATGTTTGAGAAGACGCAACGTAACATAGAAACAAGAAAAATTGTTGGCTACCCACCACATCAATCACTGCTGCAACAGCATCTTTAACTCGATTAGTCGACATTTGGCTTTTTAAATGCGCAAGTCTCTCGCTCACTTTTGTAAATCACTTGAGTCTCGGCAGAAGCCAAAAAGCTTTTCCCGTATCATGAAGTGACCGTTTGTAAGACCACGTCGCCACGTTCATTGAGTGAGTCAAGATCTAACTCAAGACCACCAAAACAGCTTAAAGTCCTGGAATATCGCTGCGTCAAATGTTTGAAATGTGAGCTTCGAACATCGAAGAAAGAGAGCAATCTAGATCCTCGTATAAAGCTAGTATTAGTAAATATGCATGTGTGCCGATTCCCTTTCGTCTCGTCGGCATCGATTGCCATTTCACAACTAAATCTTAACTTAATTAATATATAAAGCATCGCGATGAATAGCCAAGTGCTTGGCATGACTCAAGGCAAACGATTCTACAGCAAGCGTATTGCAAGTAGTAATATAATCGAAAATGCCTTCAAGCAACCATTCGGCTTATGTAAGCAAGTCTTTTAAAATAAAAATGAGCTCATTTCTACCAGCTTACGATACTGTGGATTAACTTAGAAGATATTTCAATTGGAAAGGTCAAGCGTGAATGAAGACCTCAAAATTGATACAGGAGAACAATGTTGCTCTGTTCACCAGATTTTCAAACAATTAGAACCTTTTAGCGGCTTAAGACTTAAGAGCATGCGAAGGGAGCATCGGTCACCCTCCGGATTTTGAAAATGTAATGGTACACTATCAATATGAAGATTATCTCTTTGGCTACATCGGCAGAGTATTCATATTGGATACCGATTTCCATCGAATTGCATTGAATACCGGATAGATTAGATTGTTTGTCGACTAATTCAAGCGGAAAAACGATAGCTTGTAACACGTAGAGAATTTTCGTCGCACAAGCGTCGGCACGTGACGTCGACTTCCCGTTTCGAACGGTGAGATATATCTTATTGCGTTGACTGTGGTAGCAGTCAACGCAGTCATGTTTGTCTTCACTCCGCAAACATGTCTTTCAACTTGCTGCCCCATTGCCGTCCTAAACCACTTTGCCATTCAAGCTGATGAATTCACTGCTGATTGATTCATCAGCATGTCGTAAGAAAAACCGGCCTTTACCGCACAAAGTACCCGTGACGGTTTTGAAGCACAATTGTGACACGACCTGTATTGGACTGCATATATCTAGCGGATGCCATGAAAAGCAAAAGAAGAAGCGAAACAGGGTTTGCACCCATTTACAAAATAGGATCTAAAAGCATTCGGGCCCTATCAACTACATTAAAGAGCGTCTCTCTGCGTAAGGCAAAAGAGAGCACTATTGTTCTGAGATTTGTCTTGTTAACGACAAGCTCGCTAATAAACTTAATTATGGGAGACTTTCGACAGCAGACCTGATACAATAGTTAAGCAGCCAAATGTTTGATCTGCAAACAGTGAGCTCGCCATCATATAATGACTGGCGAACGGAAGAATCTGTTGTCGGTCTTCGATAGTTAATAGAGAATCGAGCCTCTTTTCATTTGGCTAGAAGAGTATTATTTCCTTTGTTTGGCTTAACCGAAATGTATTAGGCATACATCCTCTAGGTCTATGATTTTATCAGATTCACTCTTCTATTTGGCTTCTACTAATAATGAATAAAGGTTGTTAGTATAGGAAACTGAAGTTGTTGGCAAGATCACAGCCACCATCATTTTGAAGTTTTAGTGGCTGTACAAGCCTTTGAAAGCCGAAAGTGTTGACGGCAATCTTGTTTTAGATTTTTTCTGACGAATGCAGGAATATCATTTAAAAGCGACCGATAGCGATGGCTTGATCTTTTGAAGGTACGGCACAAGCTGACGCTGGCAAAAAAATCATATATACATGAAACATAGTTGCATATCATCTTACTCAATAAAAGGAAGATATGAAAGCTGTGAATGCGAATGTTTTTACTGTGAACCGCACATTTCTGTTTATTTCAAGACTTCTGGGACGTTTCGTACGACATTCCATTGCCTCAAAACCGTATTCTCAAGTATAAAATTACTGCAACCAAATGCACCACAAAATCTCTGATTTCTTCATCCATAAGTCAGAATAATGCCGAAGCTCATATGACTCGATAATAAATTACGAGTACAAACGTCAAGGCTATGGATTCAGCAGATTCGCTGTACTTAAGAATCACTAGATTTTAGAAGATGACTAAATCGCTAAAAAGGACATGTATACCCTTTCCCTAATATATCTAAAATCTTTGGAAGTATCTTTGATAATTTGTCAAATTTAAGATGCGGCTAGAGCTCTCGTCAGGTGAAGTGGTCTTCTGCATATGTTCCATTTCCCTAGCTCTTTATATGTCTCCCTTCTTCTATCCCAGCATTAACACCAATGTTTCAAATGCTTGGGATTTTCTTCTCGTCTGGGACGACAAAGAAAATTTTCTGGATAATGAGGTCATCCAAAGTGGCTTAAGTTTGTCGAATCTTTACGCAATGTTTACTATGACCAAAATTAATGTTTATGAGCCATTTGGATGGCTACTGAAGGCTATTCAAGTGCAATATTTTGGTTTAGACCCATGGTGGATTCGAATCGTGTCTGCTGTAATACACGTCATGGGTGCAGTGATCTTAGCTCGAGTATCTGCAGTGCTGCTTGACATAATAACGTTATTGTCAATGATTAATTCAAGCTCAAATACTCATAAAGAGAGATTGCAGCATCAAACAAAGATTCACTGGCTTGGATGTTGTATCAGTGCTACATTATACGCATTTCATCCAGTGCATGTGGAAGTTATCGGGTGGCCATCAGCGCAACCTTACGCTCTGTGCGCTCTTTTCAGTAACCTTGCTTTGTACGTTTACGTTCGAGCAACTCACAATCGACTGAAAATAGCACATCAAGGTATAAAGAATGTGAAGGCTGAGCTTTTAACCTGTCTTCTGATTGATAGGGGATGGAGTGATCTAGTGTATTGTGGTAAGTGTTGAGATCTTAGAAGAAATTTTGAAGGACTGACGGTAGATTGCCGTTGTAGGTTGTTATTTGAGTGCATTGCTGTCGAAAAGTGCGTGCATCCTTCTGCCAGTGAGCTGCTTCCTGATCGACGTGCTGGTATGTGCAACTTTATATCCTCAAGTTCCCAGACCCACTTTTAAGCAGTGGTGTTTGTACTTTCGAAGAAAAGTACCCGTTATCACGATTCTGCTCTTCTTTATTACGCTCACGTTTGCGTCTAATTTTAACGGAATGCATCCTGAGGCCGATTTAATATCGTTGACACTAGTCGAACGAGTAATAAAGGCGACATCGATGCCAGTTTGGATTCTACGTTTGCTACTATGGCCTTCGAAACTGCGACCACACTACCAACTTCGACCGGAAGATTTAAGTTTAGCCAACCAGGATTGTCTATTGTCTCTTTCGGCATCAGCAGCTATATTACTTTACACAGTCTGGCTGATTCAACATCACCAGACACTGCAGCATCTGCTTGCTTTGATCTATTTCATCACGATGGTGCTCCCAGTTTCAGGCTTTATTCAGCATGGCATGGTATCGGCTGGATGTAATCGATACGCGTACTTGTGTGGTATTATTCTTGTGCCATACGGAGGAGCCATGCTGGCACGCTTGTTTGACTATGAGATTTCCAACGACGAAGAGCCCGAACACAGTCAAACTCGTCCAAAGCAATCTCGATCAAAGAGGGATAGAATCTTAGGTTTGATTGTCGTTTTTCTTCTTTCTGGAACGTTTTCCACGATCTCAATCTCCTTAATGGGCGTTTGGCGAAATGAAGACGCGCTATTAGAGTACTCATTAAGGTACGAGGAGCTCTTAGATGGAGTGTTTTGTTACTAACCTTTTATGTTTGCTATAGAATGGATCCGACAGACTGGCGTATTTTGGATCAGCGTGCGACGTATTTAGTTACGAGTGGACGCTATTCGAGCAGCGAGAACGAGTGTCGACGTCTTTGGGAACTCGCGTACTTTTACACTCCAATGGGAACGCTTAAAGCTGATCTTTTTCGATTGAAGATCAAGATATGGCTAAATGGAATGGACAATGATGTATGCGAAGGCTACATGACGTTGCTTAAAGCTCACCCAGATAATTGTCACGTTCACAATAACGTTGGGGTTTGTCTGACTGACCAAGGCAAGATTAGTTTAGCAAGACAAGAATTTGAGCAAGCTTTGCAGTGTTCAGGTTATGAACAACTCTACAAAGTTCCACGTAAGAATTTGGCGAGGTTAATAGAATGGGAAAACTTGAAGGAGAAAGCACAAGCCGATGGAGAGGAGATCGTACCTGAAATAAAGTCACAGATCATGTTTTAACTTTTTCAGTCCTGTTCAAGTTGTAAACCCCCAACAACAACAAAAATATACTTTCAAACAATTGAGTTAGTTAATCAAAAAGTAAAATACCGCTTTTTTCTTATCCAGCTTGTACACTCTAGATACACCCTGCTTTGCAATCGCGAGATGATAACATAGCTATTCCAGCCCATATCCATGATTTTGCTTAATTAAAAAAGTATAGACTGTCCAGCACACGCCTCAGGTCTAAGTTGCCCAATTTGGGAACGTCATCAAACTCCATGTCTGGAAATCGAAGTTTTAATTCTGTCAGTAGATCCTCTAATAACGGCTGTTCATATAAATTGACAAACTCTTCACGTAATCTTCGATTCATTGTATCCACAGAACAAGCGTGTGTCCAGTAACTGTCGTGTACGGCTGCAAACGATATCTTGTCATCTTCGAGGCACCGACGGGCTGTCAGCATCATATGTGCCGAATCCAATGAATGAACAAAATTTGGTGGAAAAGCCGTTTTTTGCCGACCGATACTCACTGGTTGGCCTTCACTGTTCACCATCAATACGTGTTGCACTTTGGTACGCACTTGCTTCGTTGCCTTACTACGGTACGGCTGCACCACTGGCAGTCCCATTGGTGTGATCCATGACATAGGTTGTCCGCTTTCACCGACTTTAGATGCACACTTGGCTAGCCACGACATGATTCCACGAGCTGAGTTGAACAAATCACCCATTGAACCAATCGTGAGTTCTGCACAGTAGCACGCCGCACGGTAAATCTCGTCTTCAAGTTTCTCATCCATGATGTGGCCCTTCGTCAGAAATGTTTCGTGTAAACGTGCTGATATTTGCTTTCGTGCACCGATATATGTCACACCATATACACTTGTCATAACCGTCTGTTTGACCACCTTCCGTGTAATGATTCCTTGTAAAAATTGAGCACACTTTTTCCGATGAGCTTGCCCCAAAAGTGTTTGAAGTTGAGCTCTGCGCACTGTTGATTGTGGGGAGTCATCTTCTGATGCACTAGCAAGCATTGCACGAACTTCAGCAACACTAGGAACATCTTGCGCTGCATCGTGCTCGACCTTAGCCATCACTTGAGTGGCGACACCAATGTACACGTCACTTGGCCGATCCGCAGGGACCAAATTCACCTGTGCACCGCCGCAGCTATCTCGGCCTAGTGCTGCATAGTGCTGCAATCCATTACATGAGCCGTCTTGATGTATTGGAATGTTTGATTCGTATTTTGTCGGGTCTGGTGACTCAATCGCACGTTTGAGCTCAAAGCACACGCCTAATGCCAAAAATGGATAATCTGCGCCCTTCCACCATGCACAATCTCCTTCACCAAGTGGGTCAGTCGCTGATGCCACAACTTTGTCCAAGTGCGAATTTGCAAATTCTACACGCTCGTCAAACGAACATTTGTCGACTCCAAAAACGTTTGCCAAGTGAATTTTCATCCAGCGAAGTCCATTTTCACCAAGTGGCTTGCGGTCGCGGAAGATCAGTAGACTTCGAGATAAGTCGGAGCCTAGGTGGTTTAAATTAGGTGGAATAGGATAAACACGACCACGAAAGTCCATGTTATACGGAAAATACAACTCGGGTTCGTCCTTGAACTCTTCCGCGACCTGGAGCTTGTAAAGCGTATCACAGCGCAGCGAGTGAAATTCGCGATTTAGTTGTTCAATCTAAATGAAAACAATTACAAAGTGAGAAATACTGAAAAAACATTAAGGCAGATATAATGTGAGTAGCAGATCTTCATGCTTGAAGCTTTTCAAATGGCACTGAGGTACGTCAACAAACTCAGAGCCTCGAAATGGCCACTGCTCACTGTAGCAATCAGTTTGAACCCATATGACGTTGGTGTGTCATCATGTGGGCTTGATTCTATTGCAGCAATACAAAGGCATAGATCAGAGCTTACCTTGCGGACATTTTTTGTATATAATGTGGGGTCGTTCGCAAATTCAGGACTGTTCGGGTCTGGGAGAGGAACGTCCGTTCGAGTTGGCAGGTCACCAAAGTTGCCACCATTCTCCCAGATCTGAAGAATCACATCTAGTACCTCCCTGTTAATCACCCACGGTACTCCAGCCATCAAATTGAGCACCTTCAAAATGCCACTCATATCACCACGCTGCACACAGTCCATTTGCCAGGCCGAGTCACGCTGACGCATAATTTTTGTACGTAATTTAAGATACCCTCCGTTCACAACACCTGTCCACGGACGAGGAGGCACAAGCATTGGAAGATAGCGTGCAGTCCACGGCAAAATGTTGGCATCAGGGTTCGTGGCCAGCACCGTATCGGCAATTCGCTGATGGATTTGGATTACACCAGCGCGACGATTGCGATCAAATACATAGCTATGAATAAAAGCTGGTTCTGGCGCAGGCAGGCCTTTTGCTGCGCACAATTCAGGAGTTAAGACCTCACCAGATTCGTTCGGCACATAGCACGTGCGCTGGATGCAGTCAACGACGGCCGAACCCACCTTGAGCTGAAGACGCTTGTCCCACCCACCAACAGTAGCAATGTAATCTTTCATACGCGCTTTAAGACTCTCAAGCTTAACGTTCTGTGTTACTTGAAGGTAAAATTTGTCTTCGTCGCCATTGAACCGCTTTGTAATTTCTTCCTTTTGTGCAATAATCTCTTCTTGCACAGCCTTCCCCATTGTAAGAGCAATTTTGATGAACTTAGCTCCAGTTGATTCAATCAAGCACGTGTTAAGAATGATGTTTATACCCGTAGCAGCTAGTACATCGTGCTTGAGCAACATGAGCGCGGGTCCATATATATTGCTGTCTGTACTGTGCTTGCCATTTTTGATCTTCTTTTGTTCAGCCTTCACGTATTTTTCGGTCTCGGGAATCCATTTACGGATCAGATCCTTAGCCGCATTCGTCTCTGTAGTGCGTCCGATTTGCCGAACCTTTTCGTGAGCAGCTGAATACTTATCCATAGCCATCTCATACACAGAGCACTCAAGACGGAGCTGACGCGCATAGCGTCGACGCATCTCCTGAATTTCTTCAGGTGATTTGCACTTGCTCAATGCATTCTCAGGCATCTCAAACTTTTCAAGCCATTTTTCTACATCCTCATCAGACATTACTGAGCGTGCGCGCTTGGTCAGCTTGACTGGGTCAGCAAGCTCATCTTCTGTCTTGCCAAGAAACTCTTCAAGCCCAAGCGTCAGAGGTGCCAACTCGTAAGGTTTCTCCACAGTAGAGCGAGGAATAATCTGCTGTGCACGAATAGCCCAATCAGCCTCAGCAAGGCGTCGATGTGTCACGTTCTCTGGTCTTGGCTCTAACGCATCGGCCAGCTCCGAATTGGAAGCATTCTTCGCTACAGCTGCTTCATAAGCCAGCGAGCTCTCAGAGCGCAATAATAGACTAAGCGCACCGCTTTGAATGTGACTGCGACAAACAAATCGATTGGAGGTGCGGCGCAATGCCGTGTGAGCTATGCGCGTTGTTGTTATGGATGATGCCTGCATAGAATTTCTTTGCTGTCAATGCGCAATTAGGTCCGTACTGTGTAGTGATTGAGACTGCAGGACAATGCAGAAGCAGCGTACGGAGGAAAGACAACGTGCGTGTCACTCCAAAAGCGACGCACTGCGCAGTGATCTCAAGATGATGGCAATGACTGGGCCACGGCTATTAGAAAAAAAATAACCAATGAAATGATAGTATCAGTTATGTCTAAATCTGATGCGGGTTATTATCATCGAGCTACCCCACGACCACAAAGTTCTTTAGCGAAATTGCTAGCAAGTCAAAATGGCAACAGCACCCAAGTGTGATGGCACTTCCTTGTGTTCCCACGAGCACAACAGCAATGATACTACTGACTTAAATGAGCTTGATTTGGCGTTTGATCCGACCCTTGCTTCGTGCTGCGAACGCGACGAACGCGAGTACAAGAAAGCCATGAAACTCAAAGCCCTGTTGAAAGCACATGACCCGACATCTAGCGCCGTGCAAATGCGCCAGCAACTGTTTAAGCCTCCTTCAACTTCACCGTCGCATTCTTTGAAGCCTGCATGTCAAACTCAGCAGATCAGACAGCCATCAGTGTCGGATACAGAACCATATTCTGATGAATCCGATGACAGTGACGATGGATTTGGCGTGGAGGCCATTATGGCTGCTCGTCGTGAGCAACTACAGCAGCAATATGAGATAGCCGCACAAAACATGGCTGATGGGTATGGAGTGGTGCTGGAAAAAGCTTTGTCACAGCTCGTTCAGGAGCTGCAGGACGAACCGGAGATACCAAGGGTGGCGCTTGTAGTGATGAGCGGCTCAACTAACTTTTCAGACATTTTGGAAAATATGCGCAGTGAAATGACTGCAGCTGCACAGCGATTTTTAGGTACGAAGTTTTACATAGCTATAGCAAAACACAATGACGACATGCTGCGGCAATTACGACTGACTTCTGCACCTACTCTGGCGGTATTTCGTCGTGGCGATTGTGTCGACTCTGTTGCACTGGACTTAAAGACGCTAGTTACCAAGCTGAGTATTTATTGGGAAGCACACTTATTGCCATGGTTAAACAAATGCAATGTGCTTGTTACTGAGCGTCAAGATTGTGAAAAACGGAAGAGCAATATAAGGAAAGAAAAGCGTGTGGATGAGAACGAGAACGAGCAAGAAGGATTCGATTGCGGTGTCGAGAGTTGCCGTTTACGATTTGGCTATGAGCATGAGCATGTTGGGACTTCTCAGCAAACCAAAAATGAAATAGCTGCGTGGCGTCATAGCTCCACATAACGCAAAGAAATGTAAACACGAGTGTGCTTCATCAAATTTGCTTCTAAGTGTAAAGTAGACGTAATATCAGTTCTGTGATTTAAAAACCCAAGAACGAAAGCGATTATTACAACGTCTTGATTTGTAGCCCGACACGTCTTGCTCTAAATGGGTGGGAGAATCCAGTTGAACACAGAAGTGTCATATGAAGTACAGATGACAGACTCCAACAATATCATTTACACTTTCTAGTCAATAGTGTTCTAACATCTAGCCGACTTTTTATCGTCAGAATTTTGACTTGTAATTAGTGGCCAGGGAACCTCAATGATGAGAACACGAAAGGGCTACATAGATTGGTAACGCTTAATCAGCAGAACGTAGCTCTGCTTTTAATGTTGTGCAAATTTGAAATCATGGCGAACCACAGCGTGGCTCTGTTTCTCATGGACTATTCCTCGCAGGATACTCCACTGTTTTAACAGCAATTTAGCTTTGCGCTGAATAGCTAAAAGTATTCTGAACCGTGAAGTAGCCGGTGAATTTTCTCCGCAACTCACTTTTGTCAAGTGTGCACACGTCACACATCAAGATGTTCGACAAATTAGACAGTCGTTCTGAATTGTTACACGCACGTCGAAATGACGGCGTATGGCTCAGAAGCTTTCAATACCGACCCTCGTACTGTTGTCGCGCAAAGTAGATTCCAGACCCGCCCGGGCGTACATCCATAACACATACAGTGTTGTCAGGTGGCTTTTGTGGAAACATAACCGGCCATTAAGAGGGTCAGAGTGATGGTTGCTTCAACTGCCTTGTAACGTCATTTCCTATTCGAAGCTCCAATTCCGCACTGGTTGAAGCTATCGTACGACATGGTTGACGAGACGAGAAAGACCGTGCGTGAGCGCGCGAGCTCGGGCATGCTGCGTAAAGAGCTGGACATGCGACTCACAGCGTATCTGCCTGCTGTCGTGCGACGCCATCTAGAGAAACAGGACTTGCAACGTCCGCTGAGTATGCCAACAACACACCGCACGACCGTCGTGAGCATGTTTGCAGACGTTTCTGGATTTACTGCTATGACTGAGTCTCTTGCTGCACGAGGACCTGTGGGTGCAGAGGATCTTGGAAAGCATTTAAACTCGTACTTTGAACAGCTGCTTCGCCTTGTATCAAGTGCTGGTGGAGACGTGTTTAAGTTTGCAGGCGATGCCATGCTTATATTTTGGCCAGAGAGCAAGGAGGATACTATGGAAAACTTACTACGTCGTGCTCTACAATGTGCCTTAAGAATTCAATCGCATCTTCATGAAGCGGAGCTTGCGCAAGGTGTAATTTTGAGTGTAAAAGTGGGTGTTGGTATCGGCGAGGCCACTATTGCGCACCTTGGAGGTGAGAGTGACGGAGCCACAGCTCGTATTGAATACGTTGCCGTTGGGCCTGCATTGGAGCAAGCTTTTAGTGCAGAGCATCAAGCTGAAGCAGGTCATGTCATTTGCTCTAACGAGTGTTGGAAAAGAGTCTTTGATTATTTTGAGGGCACACCAGTACGAAGCCAGGTCTTAAACAAGGATCATAACTTTTACAAAGTCACTTCAGTGCTCAAACCTGTAAAAATATGCTCAAGACGACCGTCGTACACGCGTCATGATGCACTCTTGCACATGAGAATGAAGCAATATGTGTCTCGCGCCGTCTGGCCTTATCTGGACGTACATGATGAGTTTTGGGGATCAGAACTAAGAGATGTGACGGTATTATTTATCAATCTCGGCTTCAGGTACGCTTTAAATGACATATGAGCTTGAAAATGCCCATATGCTGACTATGTTTCTATATTTTAGTGAGCAGGATCTTGCTCAAATGCTCGGTGCAAAGGAATTGCAGCGACTTCAGGACGCCTTTGCTTGCGTTCAGAAATGTGTGTACGACTATGAAGGAACGATTAACAAATTTCTAGTGGACGATAAAGGCAGTACGGTCATTGCTGCGTTCGGTTTACCTCCCGTCACCCACGAGAACGACCCTATTCGAGGCATCATAGCATCTCTTGCAATTTGTGCAGCATTAGGCAGTCACGGACTCAAAGCGTCCGTAGGCATCACAACGGGTACGACATTGTGTGGTGTGGTTGGACACCGCGGCAACCGACGAGAGTACACGGTGTTAGGGGATATTGTTAATCTGTCGGCTCGACTTATGCAGCGTGCGAAATCTGAAGGTGGGGGTGTGATCACGGATGCAGCGACAAAAATATACACGCAAGACGTCCTTCACTTTGAAAAGCGTCCTGAAATTATGGTGAAGGGCAAGAACGAGAGCATCAAGATTCATCGACCATATCCACGCATGTCGATTCTTATGGATTATCACTTGTCGTGCACACTGCAGCGACAAGTCAACTGCACTAACAAAAACCCTGTTGAGGAAAATTCAGGACGAACAAGACACGCGCATGCTGTGTCAGTGGTAAGCCGTGTGGTACCGATTCAAAATCTTATGGAAAACATGCACCGTGTGCAAGTACGTGATGCCCAGAGACGGCTTTCGCTGCGTGCTGACCGTCAGTGCCTACCGGCTGGAGAACTTGTGGAAAGCAAGAGCTTTGTCGAGGCGCGTGCAGCTCTTCTTGAGAAATGCTCGCATTTAAATGCATTTTCTCCGGGAGGTGCATTTATACTTGAGGGCGATATTGGCGTGGGCAAGACGGTCCTTCTACGATCTGCGCTCGCAAGTCCCGAAGCTGGAGATTACCAAGTTTTAGTAGGTACAGCCAGTCCCCTGGCCACCAAAAGACCGTATGCGGTTTGGTCAGAGCTCATCACCAGAGGTGCAATGGAGTATTCGTGTGGCTCAAGCAGGAAGCCAGCATTTCAACTCTCACTTGTTGATGGAGTTTTATTTGACTCGACGAATGCACATGGTTCAAGTCGGATGGCTGAAGCAGTACGCCGAGAATGCGTCGCACGATTTGTGAAGCAGAAGATCAGCGAAGGAGCATCACCAAACACAACATTAGTTCGATATGCTCACTTGCTCAATCAAATTTTGGACACTGACTTTGACGCGTACCCCGACGGCGCGAATACTAAAAATGAAGCTGCAGACAGTTTTCGTGCTGTGGCGGGAAGTAACAACAACGGACCTGTTGGTGATATTCAAGCTGATGCTCGATCCACTTCAAATCAGAGCGACCATAATTACAACGAGGAAGAAATTCGTGCAAGTGGCTACACGTTTGTCGGAACACCGCACAAAGCGCTTAATGTTAAGGAAAGTGAGATCGCGTCTTGGTTTTTGGGTTTGCTCGAAATGGATTTGGCTCAAAAAGAAGAAGCCCAAACGCCTTTCAGCGCGGCTCAGTCAGAAGATAGAGATGACGAAAGAGTAAGTGGCGAAGATATGCAAGAAGCAGCCTGGAGACCTGATAATCTTGATATAAGTGGTATTCTTCTTTTGTGTGTGCTCCATGCAATGTCACGTGATCGAGCCACCGTTTTTTGCCTGGATAGCGCCATGCACATGGACGAAAAATCGTGGGTACTTGTTATGATTATTGCTCAGTATTTCACGAACTCGATGGTCGCCATTGGGACGCGGCCGCCGAGCTTGGCACTTGGTGAAAACACGGCGAGCTGTTCGTTTCGTAAGCAGCTGCATCTACTTAAGCGCCTCAAGTCTTCGTCATCAAAATGCCTCGATTCGTTCAGCATTAGCGAAACAGAAGTACTCTCACGGCATATTCTTAATATTCCTGTGATTCCAAGCAATCTGCTCGATATCCTTGTCTCGCGTTCCCAAGGGAACCCTTTGTTTCTTCACGAAATCATCGCAGAGATGGAAGAGCAACAAGTCATTAAGGTGGATGAAAAGAAAGGCATCCGCACTTGCGAGCTGCACGTTCAAGAATCGTGGGGCGATAAGTCAAAGGCGCAATTTTGCTTTGCTTGTCATATGTGTTTCGGAATTCCAAAGAAGGATAAGGAAAAAGCCAAATTTAAGGTAGACATGGATAAGGAGATAAATCAGAGCACCGAAAACGAGGGCTTTAAAAAGTCCAAGCATCGATGCAGGTGCTGCGGCTACTTCTTCTGTGCCGAGTGTACGCCCAAAGCGTGTCAAGCAAAGATTCCAGGTAAATCTAGTGAGTTAGTTCGTCATTGCCGTACGTGCTACAATCTTTCATCATCACGTCGGCCAAGTGGTTCATCTCACGGCATTGAAACTATAGCGGGAACGTCCCAAGACGTGCGATCACGCCCAAAGGGTCGCATTCGCTCCATTTTTCACGCTGGAAGCAGTGGTGATAATCTTACATTCTCGTTATCCTCATCTATTTCGCCGTCTAATACTGAGACACTAACCAATCGAATCGCGCTACGGCCGCCACGGACTGTGAAAAGCGTACTTACCACCATGCTTGATCAGTTGACATGCTCACAGCGTATGCTAATGAAGACAGCGAGTGCCATTGGACCAGTGTTTGACATAGAATTGCTTCGTGGTTCATGTCCAATTGAGGCGCATTTATCTCGATTTTCGCGAGATCTGGAAGACCTCGAACAATCAGCAATGATTCGAAGGATTGACACTTTTATTGGCGGTGTGCCAGCATCATCCAAGGCATGTTCAGGACCAGAAGGTACCGTACTGACTACGAGTCAAACAGCTCCACCGAGCACGTACGTAAAAGCAAAGTTTGAGTTCAGTCACGGTTTCATGCGCAGCGTTATTCGTGATCAATTATTACGAGGTCAGCTAGACAAGCTAAATGCGCGAATTGCAGATTTTCGCGAGCAGCAGCAGAGACAATTACGCCAAAAGTTTTTTGAAAAGGCAAACGAGAGCCTTTCTCGCCCTCTACCATTGTTTATTCCAGTGTCTTGTGAAGTCGCTGATGTTCGGCAAGCACTCACCCCAACTGGGGTTGATAGGATAAAATCACGATCGCCTCTTATCCATGAAAGTAGACGACGACGTTTACATGTCCGCCGCAATTCCCACTCTGGCGTCCATCAAAGCAATGATGGAATGGATGTTTTATCAAGCTTCTCATCAGAAGCGGTGGGAGAAGCGCCTCACGAGAATAAAGACAAAGAGGAGTTTCCGATGACTGGTCTGGACAGCGTTTTGACTCCTTCTATTTATCCGAAAAACAACAAATTTTGTCACGAACAACTGTCTAGCCGACAAGCAACATTTCTACGTTTGAAATCGGATCGCGTGTTGGTTAAAAAGTATTGCAGCATGTTTTCTCTTTTAAAGGTGAAAGGGCTGAAAAAACACCGACAGTGGAAGACGCGATATGCTGTTTTAGAGAGCAACCGCCTGCTTTTGCAATACGAAGACGAAGATCCTGTCGACGCGATTGCGGGTAGAATAACATCGCTACAGCCAGGAGTCCGACAGGGCACAATATTATCGTTGAAGAGTGCCACAGTGAGCGCATGTGACCCTGAGGTGGCGGCCAAAGTTAATTGCTTTCAAATCCAGGTCTCGGACTGGACAAAGAAAGGCAAAATCTTTGAAAACCAAAGACGATCTTTTATTATTGGGGTTGAGAGCAAGGAGGAGGTTGAAAACTGGGTCTTTATGATTCGCTTCGCGATTGAATCGCTTGAGGTGAAACAGTAAAATACAGGCAAAGCAACGATTTTCGCTGCTGCAGTTTTGCTGACTTCCGAGATAAATGCTATATAGTGGTGAGAGGTCACACATCCAGAGTATTAATTATGTGAAGGGATTTAGTATATAGTAAACACTTTCAATTTGGCTAATTTGTCGAACGATGTAGTGATATCGACAACAGACGCCAATCTGAGCATGATAACCGCCGATCTTGCCCCATACTGGCACAGTCACTCCATAAAAGTCAGCTATGAATAGCTCGCCAGGGGTGCATCTATGTTGCAGATTCGTCCGACATCGTTTGCCTAATTGACATGTAGCTCTCCGTAGAAGACTGGTGTGTCAGTCATGAGAAAAATACTAACGAAGATGCTCAATTAATGTTTCTCAATGATAACGAAGCTACACCTATTTCTTTGTCGCGTAAATGCTTCGTGTGATGCACTCGTAAATGTCGTAATAAAATCTTTCGTGTAACGTACGACATTTCTCGGAGTGAAGCCAGGCCTATTCTGGTCGATAGTCGTACGTGGTTTGAGAGTAGATAGCTACTAACATCAAGCTAACGCAAATGTTAATCGAGTGAGATTAGAATATAACGTTCGACCCGATTTATCATATCGAAGGGAGTTTACTTTGGTCGTTTGCTTCTTGTAAGGGATGGAAGCAATGTAGACAGAGCGACCTCAATGTCGCCTCGAAACAAAGGTCTTATGCTAGCAAATTGAAAGCATGAGAGGTGTGACCTTTTTCATTTTCAAAGCACGGAAGGTTTAATGTATGCCACCTTGTCACGCAAAGGATACGTAATCTTGCAGCAGATAGCTTTGACAGAAGTACATGGACTTAGTAATATAAGCGGCATCCTATTAGTCGTGATGACCTTAGGATGAGCATTTTCTACCTCAATCTTTTTTTGTCATATCTATAAGCAAAATTTTTAGAGGTTAAGAACCTTTGAGAAGAATGTGCTTCTTCCGTGAAGACAACTAACAATTAATGCTGTCTTTCTTCGTGACCTAATTGTGTCAAGATGCAAAGTCATGTTTGAATGGAGCTTGTAGAAGAGTATTTGATCCGCTGAGAGCTTTCATTTAAGGGAATTTATACTATTGATGTGATAGGGGCTTCGCGGATAGTCTCACTTTTGTTTGTTGAATAATGCAGTGTTAAATCCTTCCGTCACTTGTTTATCACAAAGGCTCCGATGATATGATAGATTAGATTGTCATTCGACGGAAACTGTATCACGACCTACAGACGCAAGTATACCGGTGAGGTCACCAGCTCGTGAGCACATGGAAAATGCTTTTGATTGTTGACTTTATGACTCATTTGATGACTATTAGGTCTCTTGTATTCGTATATACGTGATTCCCCATCAAAGCATCTTTTTTATTATTAAAAAGTTGTCAGCTCATTTGCGGCGATAGGCGTCAACGCCTCAACCTAAAACTTTCCGAGTCATACAAGAAAATCTACATAGGCATTTCTTTGTAGCTTATCGTCGGTTTGACGTAATAAGATGACGACATCTTTTCCAGCAAAAACGAGACACTAAAGCTATCCGGATCGCGAAAAGGCTGTAGGCCTAGAAAGGGCACTTAAAATACTTTCTGACTTCCTAAACGGTCCTTCAAATATAAAGATGCTCAACCTGAAATGATGTTCTATACTGTCGAACAAAGCAACGTACCGTGCAAGCTTGAATATACTGGTGCAAGAGTTTGACTGACCTATTGGATTATAAGATTAAGGTGAGGATAAGTCTCGACGAGTCTGCTGTGAGCTACATGTTCAAAGATTTCTTTGCTCCCAATTTATATGAGTACACCAATAAGAAAAACAATTTTACGAGAAAAGTTTAAGCTTTTCAAAGTTCTTCAAATATTACAATATCCTTCTACAAATAATTTAGGCCGTATAGAAACTACAACCATTTCAACTTCGACTTAATTGTAAATTTCTAGCATTGCAGAACATCCGACCGATCCATCACGTCAAAGATACGAAAGCATCCTCGTCTCATATGATCCCGACAATGAAGTGTAACACATGGGTATACTTTTGTCTACTGAGATATTTACTTTCCCGAAATTTTAAAACGGAGTCTAGTGATTGAGTTTAAAGTCAAGTATTTCAACAAATCGATTCAATTTTTCACTTCTCCAAGCTTCAAGTCATACAAGTGCATGTCCGCGCGCTTTCTGCTTTTTCGTGTCAACTCAACTCAATCAACAGCACGAAACTATTAGTCGCTACGGAATAATCTACGAACTCTATTGTGTCCCTGTACACCACTGAGCTCAAAAATTATGGAAGGATCTCAATTTTCCGATAAAGAGAACGACTTTGTCATATTTGAGCACAAATGTACGAGTCCATCAATGTCTTCTCCATTCACTGGTTCATTTTTGGAATCTGAGGTAGTGCGACGTTCAAGCGACAATTATAATAGCGAATCAATAAGTGATGAAGAAGTAAAACAGATACAAAAGCGACAAAGTCGAATTGTGAGTGAATTGAGACCTGTGGAGAGACCCGAGAGCGCGTTGATGAATATACCAGATAATCATTCAATGGAGAGAGATGATGGAACGATAGAATTGTTTGCGGCAGAACGTGTACGCACGACTCAGTCATGGTTGTCAGATTTATATAGTTACATGTACGTGAACATTCGGTATTTTGGAGTCAATAATACTGACCAATAATTTCTGATTGTACAGGAAAAATTGTCATTTAGTTTTTGGGATTTGTATGGCCCACCGTGATCATCCATTCAAGCGTGGCGATCGCTGTCTTGTATTGTTTATTGCATTGTGTACGTTTTGAAATGTAGCAATGTAAGTATTGTTGGTACAAACAGCTATTGATCAATACTGTCTGCTATGAATAATATAGTTACGACATTGCTACTTAGTGGATTATTTGCAAATCGAGATTGTTGTACCGAAGTGAACGATACACCGATTGCAGTTGTCAACCGTCGACTGGAAAGAAATATATTGCTGGAGGCTGGAAGTGAATCGAACGATAATGATAGCAACTCTGGTGCTGTCAGATTGAGTGAGAAACATTGCCTGGCATTTTACGCTGACTGTAGTCATAAAATGGCAATTTGTCCGCAGGGATCAAGGTGTCAGGCTGTTACGATTGACGAAAGTATCAATAATGCGACTATTGCAATGCAATGTGTTCCAGATGAGACAATTTTGCCCAAGTGCGTTACCAGGCGCTGTCCAATTGGATGGAGGTGTCGGGATAATGCAAGCGACTGTATGCTTACCACTAATTTTGTCTGTGATATGAGCGAATTACGTACGAACGAGTCAGATGGCCATTCGGAAACTGAGTACCGATTTCATAAGATTGATGACAACCAATATAAAAAAAGATTGGGACTCGTAAAAACATTGGGGATACCAGCTAATCAAACAAAAACTACATCAAAAAAACTTTTATCGACTACTTTAGCAACAGAGTCTGAAGATTCGTCATCGCAGACATTTGAATCGACTTCGAATCTATCCTCAGAATCATTATCTTCCGAAAGTGCGACTGTAAGAGTAGCAATAAACGAGCCAGCGAATGATCAAGTATATAGCCTCGCTTCAATAATATTAATCGAGTGGCGTGTAGTATTATTGTCGGGTCCTGACCCTGGACTCAATTTGTTCCAAGTGGATTTCAGCGCTGACAATGGCGCATTCACTTTGATTGCTACCAATATATCCCCAATCAATTCACAACCCGATGCTAATACCTCCGTATATCAATATTATTGGAATTTAGCGAACAATACGTCGTGGTTGTGCACAAGGTGTGTACTAAGAGTGTGTGCATTGGATGTGCCATCCGTCGCAGATAATAGTCTGTGTCTTCGCTCGGACCGACCAAGTGCTAGACGTAGACGTCTTCAAACTTCAACAGTGGACGATGATGACATCACGTTTCGTATTGTACGTGAAGTAATCGAGTGTGCTTGTGGTTTGAATCACGAACCATATTTATTGGCAGCTTCGATTATTGCTGGGTGTATTCCAATTGTTGCCCAATTTGCAGAGCCTTTGGTCACATTTTACCGCGATCTGCAACTTTTTGGACTGTTTGCACGTCGAGATGGACCAGTCCGACCCCTGATTGCATGGTATGCAACAGAGTCGGCGACTCAAAAAGGTCGAACTGTTCTTATTGGAGTTACATTTGTGCTTTGTGTGGCATTTGGCATTTTAGTAGCTCAAATCACGACGACTAATTTCCTTACGGAAAAAGACGCAATAATTGTATTGTGGATTGTAACTTTTGGTATCGCTGTAGCATTGGGAACAATAGTATATTGCACATTATTGCGATTATTGTTATTCAATGTGCGTTGGTGGCGTGAAGGACCTCAGGAAAGTATTGGTATTGATAATCTAAGTCAAAGCCGCTACTCTGTTAGCTCAATGGCGTCGATGTGATTATTTGTTTGCGGTGGAACCGTTTTGAATTGCCGCAAGATAATGTTTATTATACAAATTTTTGGATATCTATTCTCCATTTCTCGTATTCAAAGCCTACTACACGTGATTGAGCTTAATGTAAATACTATTACGTGTCTACTCGTCGTAAGTTCTCGTAAATGTATGACGAAGCAAGTCTTCAGTTTGTAAGTGTTGAACATTGAATTGGGAAATGCCCTCGAAGAAATGTTGGGTTTTGAGACGGAGTGAAAATAAACAAATCTGTCATGACTCAAACCCAAGTACGTTAATATCTTCTTTCAAAGCATGCTGCATCACGAGAACAGAGTTGACTGTGTTCAAATTGAGAGGTTATATGGGTAGGGAAGCTTGCATAGCACTTTAGTAGCCGGATATGCTTGTCACCAGTTTAAAATTCTTGCAGCAATCTAAAGCTTCAAAGCTCAAAAGATAATGACCGAAAAGCCGAGTACGGTCATTAATGCTGGGCGAAAAGACTCAAGAAATCCATTCCCAATGAAGTACGAAGTAAGGGCGAGCGAGAGGATGTCAATGGAAGGTGGGAAGGCATCGTAACATCACTTTGTGCACTATAGTCATCCAAGTGCAAGTCCGACATTTCTGTCGCTGCAAAAGTCATCAGATCTTCAGAAGAGTAAAATGGAGTTTGCTCAATTGCGGTTTCCGGATCCATCGAATCGTAATCAACAGTCCGAGTCGATTCAATAAACATTGGATTTGAACTCGACCTTATCCACTGAAGGTCTGGATCGTCAATTCTAGAGATTTGAGTCGGTGGTGTTATCCTCTTTGATGCAGCAGCCGCTCGTCTAGAAACAAATCGCTTTTCACATTCTTCCTGCAGTGCATTTTGATTCTCTTGTAATGGTGACAATGTTCGACTTTGACTTTGAGGCCCATCACTATCCTCCAAATCATCTTCAACAGTCACATCAGCGTTAACCTCATTAAAAAGCCGAGGACTTGGTAGTGAAATGACTGTCTCAAACAAATGCGCATTGTTAATTTGATCGTCCTTGCCAAACCATTGCAGTTGATTCTGTGCAATCTCTTGATTGTCTGATAGCGTTTGATTGCTCTCTAGGTCTCCATTCGAGCAATTTTCTGCCATGAACACAAGCCGATGTTGCTCTTTGCTAGAATACGATTCATGTCGAAACTTTCGAGCATTTCCTTCATGTGATTCTCTATCAGTAGAAATTTCTCGAGCCGTGTCACTTGTATCTGTTGTAACTTCAATTCGAAATGGTGGTGGCACACTCTCGTCTACATCTGCAAATCCATCTAACTTCGGATCATGATGAGCTTGGTTGGTAGAAAAAAGCGCTATCTTGTCAACTAAACCACGGCGTGAAACACCATCACACTCTTGAGTTTGTGTTTGAGGATTACTGCGTTTAGCTTTGACCATGTATCGTGAAGGGGGACGGTCAATAGTTTCAAAAATTGAAAACGGATCTTTAGAACTTCCTCTGCTTAATCCTCTCGAACACGATCCAGAACTCCGTCGAGATCTTTCCGTCGTCTCTGGAGCATCAAATGCATTTGTATCAATGAGATGTGTCGGAAACGCATGCCGTTGACGAGATGGCGGACGATTCATAATTTCTTTCGAAGCTAACGCACGCATTCGTGTCTTTGTATTCACACCAGCCGATAAATTTCGATGCTTGCAATCACGCGATGGAATTGTCATTCTACCATGATTCACGACACAATCAATTCCTGTTGAAGAGTGTAATTGTTTATCCTCGTCATGTTCAAGACGAACGTTAATTGAATTACCACAACGTTTTGAAACATACGAAAGCTCTTCGTGGCCTTGATTTGTTTGAACTCGTTTTTGCTTTGATGGACGATCAGCTGAAGCTGAAGTTGAAAGTATTCGTCGAGGTATTGAACGTACTTGTGGTTGGGAAGATTGAAAAGCCGCATTAATGAGAGGAGTCTCTGCTGAGGATATATTCATAAATCGAGTACTTTTGTCATCACGTTTCAACTTCGACGTATTTGTCCGACGCTTCGTAACTCGTTTTGATATGGAGATACCTACATCAATTATGGGACCACGACTATCTTGATGGTTTTGATGATACTCCTTGCAAGGCACGTCATGTTCAAAGCGACAGGAATCGATCAAAGCTGTTGTTGGCGGTACCGTTCGACATCGACGTTCCTTTCGCTTAATCTTGATTCTTCTATTAATTTCACCCTCATCAAAACAAGGAACAGTTGTAGCAGAAAGTAGATTCATGATAACGTATTCAGATCGTTCGCTACGGTTCTAAGAACAAGTAACTCAAGCTTTGAACAATGAACTTTTGTTGATCGAACAAGCCTAAATTTGTCGAGTCGACCGAATGAAAATAGACTTAACGGTTCTTTTTCAAATTGAAATTATGGGAAATCGAGCGTCCTGAAGTTGATAGATGAATGGTGGGAAGAAAAGCAACGTAAGTCGCTAAAAAGTCCGTGTACGAGAGAAAAGGGATCGTTGGAGCAACTGGAATATTCTTTACAGCGATATTATTGCTTGTTATCAGTCTTGACAACAACTGTCGAAGACTTTCAATAAAGATCTTCACGTCATTATTACCCTTTTCAAAATCAAGACTCTGCTTAGCATTCTTACTACGAGAGAACAGCATAAGCTCTGTGTTTCATCATCAATTGTATGTTAATCATTCGTACCTTAATCGAGATAGAGCTTTTGTAAGTCCAAGCATCGTCATGCGTCGAGGTCCCTTTGCATCTTTATCAGCATATAACTCATAAGCCTCCAGTGCTTCGACTACTTGGTCACCTAAAAGATCAAGAAATCCAATCACTTTCGCAATTGGAAGCACTGCATCTTTAACATGAGACTCCTTTAAAGTCAAATGATATCAATCAGCTGCGATGAATTATTTCAACGATAATTTTCGATACCATTTGAAGCTCAGTTGTTGCTTCTGTATTCTCATCACTCTCAGCACAAGGCTTAGAAAGCCAGGACATCAGACCTATTTCAATGTCTATTAATGTCTAAAGTAAAACCTTTCATCACATGCAAAACTTACAAGAAGAAACGCGTATACACCGAACTTGAATCACTTCACCACGTGCTACGTGTCGCGTTTGCTTACTACATTCAACAAGATTCAAATCTCGTCATAAATACCTTAAGAATCAATGTAAAACTTACCCAAATTTCTTACACAGAAACTCGGCGACTTTTGAATCACATTTCAGATGAATAACACTTCGAATCTGTTCTTTATCCTGATTCTGGCGATACACCCCACGTCTTTGTGAAGAGATTCCATCAATCTCACAAAACGCATTGCTTGGTACATGATTCAATTGCTGCATGAAAAGAATGACATCATCAGACTCGACTTCCCGAGAACTACTCCATTCAAGTGCTACTGTTTCCATCGCATGAATAGAAATAGATATCTTAAAACCAAAATAGAGTGAACCATTTGACAAGTAACATCTTGTAAAGATTCCAATAAAGTAAAGTCCGAATTCTAATCTGCAATCTAGATCGAAACTCCCGTCTCACTAATATATTGCGAAGTCTTTGATGCTTGATAAAGTAACGATTCAATCGTCGAGTGCATGTCTGCAGCTGTATATAATTGCGATGAAAACCTTGAGCTTTGACTACAGGAACTACTTGCACTTTGACTTGATGTTGTGCTTTCATTATCGCTATCATATTTCCACGTCATAGCATTAGGTCCATTTAAGCCAAGGCCTCGAACTTTTGCATACGATAAACTTGTAAGTCGATCTGTTGTTTCCGTTGAAAATGATAGACCATCTCCACCTGCTTCATTTTCCATATCATACATATCAATGATCGAATCTGCTCGTCCTGTACTACTTCTTGAATCACATGATGAACTAAATGAATGTGCAGCACGAGCACGTGGTTTCAAAAATCCTTGTGTCTCCAGTGCTAATGCTTCAAGACGAGCGCTAATTTTGTGAATTAACTCCGTCATGTTTTCCATCCATTCATTCGAAACGTGACTACTAGCTGGTACATGATTTCGTTTCCATAAATCTAATGTGGCTACACAATACGCTTCAGAATTGTCGCGTCTTGAATCGATTGGAAAACTTAAGAACGACACTGCACCATGTTCTATATGCAATGGATGAGCTCGAAATCGTGGATCATGTTCCATCTCCGCAACAAAGAAAGGAACTCGATGGTGAATAGCATAGGCACTCACACTCTCTTCTCGAGGAATGACATCATCAAATGTAACAGGAGACGCTTCGAGTTCTAAAACATCGTCATCGACGTCAAGTTCAGGAGTATTGGATGCTGTAACTAAACAGTAGACGTCGTACCCTCCAACAATATTAATGCTACAACCATGCCATTGAGATGCTAAATTCAAGACAAATTGAGCAAATTGTTCTAATTCGGTATCATGACGTAAGAAAACAAGCGATCGAGCATCAATTTTCAGACCAGTGACTTCCACATAATTCGCACGATCGATTTCGTAAGTCGTACGCATCACAGGTGCTTTAGGAAACGCATTAAACCAGTTAAAATTCAACTCGTAATCAGGTTCAGGCGTTGTGAGCTTGATCAGCTGAGATGTACACTTAATCCTCGTTACATCTGATGAATTCTCGTCTTTTATCTTTGTATTCACTTGTGACGAAGCAGAGAACGAACCGTGGACGTATGTACGTGTCACGTGTTTCGTTGGAGTGTCTGCTAATTGTACCGTCTTAGCTCGTCGCGTGCGCATTGATTGAGTTATACTTGAGTCTTTGTCCATTAAATCAGTTGGAGTCGAAACTGTTTTTCGTCGACTATCTGCACGAGTGTCTCCAACACCAAGAACCGAAGTTGTTGCACTCATTGGCGATCCTTGCGAAAGTTCTGATTGACGAGAGTGAGTACGTTGACGTCTTCGAGAATTTGATGTAACTAATGCTGGATCTAAATCCAAATCAATTTCAATTCGATTTGATGCTTGCGATGACGTTCGATTGTGCATCTCTGATCTTTTTGAATTCTGAACAAGAGTTTCAAGATTTGGAAATTGAAACACATTAAACGATGAACCTTCCGAGAAAGAATTTTTTGTTGTTCCAGAGACTGTTCCATCCTTTCGACTCACTCCATTGCCCTTCTCACGTAACGAACATTGTGTACACACACGTTTCTTTCGACGTGATCCAACAATCGCTTGTCCAATGAAACATTGATGACACACAATCTTTTCACACACTTCACAATTTTTTTTCCATCGAAAAGGTCCAAATTTTCGATTACAGACATGACAAATTCGTCCTTGATTCAAATCATCACGAGTTTTACTAGTCTGTGACGATTCACGTGGTACTTTAACGGTCACATTACGTGGAATCTTTTCTTGACGAAGACGTTGAATCAATGGCTGAAGTCTTGTAAGACATAAAGCATCGTGACGTAATCGTTGCTTCATTTCATGGAATTCTTCCATTCTTCTCTCCTTTTCATGATCAAGAGACCACGTTAATACAACTTCAAGTGTCACAGATGCTTCTTTGTCTTCTCGTGCTTCACTCTTTGCTAATTCTTGAATAATATACGTGATACTAAATTTATGATCTGCCAAATGTTCTGTCCGAAAATCATGTCTCCTTTCAGCAAACAAAGGCGCTTGAACTGGATAATACAAATGTAACAACGAAGCAACGGAAGTTAAAGTCCGTGGAGTCGTTGTACCAACACTTTTTTTTAAACTCGTGTCAGAACGTTGTAACCTTGTTGACAAAGTATACCCAAGAAAAATAAAATTATCCACTGAATTAGAGAGACGAGTGTCTGGATTTTGATGTCCCATATGCTTGGAAGTATAGGGCTTTAATCGTGCATATTGCAGTGTCACGTTCTCACGTTCTCGTGTCGAGTGATCAAGTGTCGGATATTGAGCAATTGAACCTCCAGATACGTATGTATGGGGTAAAAGTCGAGCTAGAAGTGAAGGTGAATTGTCTTGTTCCGTCTGTCCCGTCAAAACTGCCTCAACTTCAGCTAATGTAGCTTGTAATGGCTTGACCGCTCGTAAACTATAATACTGACTATCAGAACGTTGCGTACTTTCATAGAGTTTAGCCGCCTCGTCCGGAAGTGCTCCAATACGCTTCCATCGCATAGGTTGAAAGATCTCTTTTGCCCGTGCACGTCCGTATATTCGTGCTTGTTCTTCGTTCTCTATTGCTTCGATTGGCATTCTTGGAGGAAGGAGAGAAAACTTAAAGTAATAGTGTGGGAAAAAATGGAGCGAGACAAACTGTGTACGTACATATGTTCATTACGAACAGTGTAACCCGATAATTTTGATTAGGGCTAAAAATCTACGTGTGGACAAATCCACTCGAAATTTCTGGCGAGATTTCAAAATTAAGTCAATTCCCTTTGACCAGTTTTGATAGTAATCATCTTGAGAAGTTTTCGAAGACTTTAAATTTCAAGTCTCCTATTGGCGGAATGTCATGAAAATTGACTGTCCACAGATCTTTAGATGGTGCATCATGATGTCTATGAACCATATGGTTAGTTCTACGTGGAAAGGTGTGTTCGTAAAGGCAATGTATCAAGTAATGAACCATTAGCTGGATTTGTTACTTTCCTACTTTCTTCCTATCTTCTAGAATTGTTCTTTTTATATCGTTTCTTATCTACTTGAAAGTTTAAATGCTACAATCATATCGTTCCATTACAAACCTCTCATTGTGTCATGTACTCATATACGTAATGGCGATTACTGACGAAATCTTCACGCTTGTTAACCATAGACAAGTATATATGAAAGGAAACACACTAATAATATCATAAAACCATGTCCATTACATTACATACGTTTTAAGACTATGATTCATATATATGAGCGTCCGACATCACTTAAACCGAAGAGTCTTTTACCATTGTTTAGCTTATGTAATAAATCTCCCATACTAGCCATGTAAGTTACTTCTGCATTTAGAAGTAAGCTGTGTTCATTAAAATCGTGGTATACTTAGGGGATGGCAAGTCCCAAGCGTTTTTCGAGAAAAATGCCATGTGGTCATCACAGTCGGTCCAAAGTAGATATTTTGGATGTTGGCTCAATGCTTTACGTGTGCTTTTACTCAAAGTTTTCAGTTTCGTATATTTGGAGCTTAATGCTCGTCCTCAAGCGAAACGGATTACGATGTTCGACCTTGCTTCAGTCTTATCCATCTCAACGTCGCGGTCAATTCTTAAGACCTTCTATTGGCTCTTTCTCGAAAGCGTGACAATCCACTCAATTGATGACGATGACAACATCGACATCGATTGTGCATAGTCGAAGTTAATAAACATATTGCCCAGTTCACGCTTATCCTGCTTCATCAACCATACCACTTTAATTCTGGACGTACCGTTTAATATGCTTTACGTGTCCAAAGAACGCGCACTTTTTTTGATATAATTTTCATTTTTTGTCATCAACGACAGAACATTCATGTCATCTAAATATGCTGTGCCGTCTCTTTGTCTTAAACATCAGCTCACATAGCATAATGTCTAATATTTCTTTGTCTGAAAATCGAGTAATCCAGGTACGTCAGCAATCGCTTCATGACTTTTAACCATTCAATCAAGTGTTTCATGGCAAGGATTCGTCATCCCACCCCCTCGACTTTTGTTAGGTATTTCTTTCAAAGCAGCTTTTAAAAGTCTAGCCGTGACGTACCGATTATACCTCAAATCCTCACTTGACTCATGGCACACATGAGCCAGCAATCATGAGGAAAATGGCTTCATCGTCTGCTTTCATTTCATACACCAGCATATAATGTCAAATACATTCGATAGAAATTCTCGAACCTTTGCCATTGCGTATTGATAAACGGTCCATCAAAACTCTCACTTCCTATCACCACTAGCTCTTAACTGACATGTACTCTCGTATATTCAATCGTCTTTTTATAATCGCCGTATTCTTGTATACAATTAAATGTCTCACTCAACAAAGAGACTGACATTTACCTGTTGATTAGATTCGGAACGTGAAGCATGTCTACTTGGCGGATACAATGACCATCCGTTTTATCTGTTTCTGCTCCTTTATTTGTAATCTGCTTACTTAGATCTTTTATCCAGAGCTTTGGGAACTTTTTAAAAACAACTTTTTGCTGTTGTCTTTCCAAGCAGAACGAATATGACTTGCTTGATCAAGGTTCAAGTAATTGCTTTTGTTTTCACCATCAATCTAGCAAACGTTCTAGCACTTATCGGTCAACTTTATGTCTTGAGAATGTCTAAAGGTTTGCTACTCACTCGATGATATTTACGGTAGTACTTGTCCAAAATGAAAGATTCATTATAATAAATACTATCCGGTAAAATATTATTAGAGAATAAATGCTTATTGCAGGTTTTCTAAGGAAAACAAAATTATGTACGTTAATGTAATTTCAGAGCTCGTGATTAATGCCTTCTAACCGAAGCTGCCCTCGTGATTGCTGTTGGAAGCAAGTTTCTCTGTGTAACAGCGCAAGTACTCTAATCGTTTGTACTTAAATCCTTGCACATTCAATTAAATACAAATGTACGAACTTAACGTTGTAATTGTGAGTATTCATTACTACCGGAGCTGGAGATAATTTTATGACGAGATACTACGCATGCATTTTTATGAGTTCAAACAGTTAATTTCGGATATGTGTTTCTGAAAATGCAAAGCAAACTAACAGTCTCACTTACCTTAGGTGCTCTCGGTCCAGCTCCTAATAGAAGCACACGAACCGAAAATTTGTGCGTTTGCAAAAGCGTATCCGAAACGAAGCTCTCTCGGCGGGATGTCGTTACCTTGGACCACTCCGTTTGATAATTTAATAATGTTTATTGATGCGGTATTGTGAATGTTCAAAGGTTCACAACGCATTGCAATTGTGAGAAATGTCCAAGGGTAAAGCACACACGAACGCCCTTTCCCTAAGATGCAGACCAAACTGGGATCTAAACTTCTACTTGTTTTCGAAAATTTTGCGCAAACGTGACCACTATTCGAGAATTGTAGTTTCACTTCACTCTCTATATTTTTCCTGCCCGTTCTCCTGAGCGTACTTGCACCAAGAGCGCTTCCGTAGATCTAGAAATTAGATCAAAAAGCCCCGCCAAATGCGCGATCGTCGCGACCGACGTGCTGAAAGACATTATCGGTGAGTGTAACGGGCTACACGTACCCTGGTATGAAGGAGTCGGTCACACAAGAAGGTGCAACCACAAAATGGTGTGGCAACACCTTAACAAGAAATCACCACGTGGCTGGGCTGCTAGTAGTCATAAATTTTCATTAGGTTTCGCTACTTGATTAGGAAGACCTATAGACATAGATATAGATATAGATATAGATATAGATATAGATATAGATATAGATATAGGTGGCTTTGCCGCAGATAAAACCAAGAAATACAGTCAACATTTCGAACGGAAGAGTTTTTTTACCTTGGGTTGAGGTTGTGGTGACACTTGGAGTAAGCGGATTGTGATCCGCTCCACTCGTACTATTTCCAAGTATACAACGAAGATCTCCGACCTTAGCTT